ACCAGAGCTGGAGCTGCTCCCTCCGGGGCCTGCAGCCCCAGGCCGGCTCCCTTTGGGGACTGGAGGTGCTGCTGGGGCCAGGGACACATTGGTCTCTTGTCACCATCGTGAGTAGTGCCTCTCCCCTCCACCCCCCCGGGGAGAAGCCAACCCTGAGCTCACAGCCTCCGCACTGTCACCCAGCCCGGGTCAGCTCCACCGAGGCAGGTGACCCATCCACCTCCTCACCTCACCCCTCCTCCCCCGCCTCTCCCTCCATCCCCTCCTGCTCCCCTCCTCTCTGCCCCCCTTCCTGCTCCCCCTTCTTCCTTCCCCTTCCTGTACCTCCTTCTCCCTCCTCCTCCTCTGCCCCCCTCCCCTCACTCCCTCCCCCAGCCCCTCTGCACAGTTCTCTCCTGGCCTCTGCCTCTGGGTGGAGGTAATGGGAATTTCTGAGAGCACGGGATGAGGGAGCATACATCTCACAGACGCGCCTGTCTGGGGTGGGTTTGCACATTATGATCAGTGATGCCCTGCCCCCCACCGCCGGGGCTGGCCACCCAGGGCCGTCTGCTGGTGGCCATCTGTAGTGAACCTCGTCAACTCACCTCACCTCACACCACTGGGGAGAGACATTCAGTGACACGCATTGGGCTGACTTGAGCAGCAGGGGCCCTGACTGTGAACACACCCCATCCTGCCCACCAGGGCCGCAGGGGGTCTCTGGGCTGGGGCCACCAGGCTTAGAGGCCGATGTCTGTCTTGGCCAGACATCTCCAGCAGGCCCAGCTTGCCTGCTCTGGCTGGACATGGAAACAGCCAGCTCTGAAAGGGCCATGTAAGCCACACGCTGGCCGGAACCACAGGCACGAAGGTGGGGGACAGCTCAGCGGGACCGCCCCCTCCTGCGTACGAGCAATCCAGCAGCGTGGTGGCCACGCCACGCACCTCATTCGGAGCACTGTGTAAACAGAGCATCTGTACAGGATTAGATGTCAGGAGACCCGGACAAGGCTCCCGTGGCTCCCTCCCGCCCCACTGTGGGGGCCTGGCTCACCTCACCTGGTCTCCTAATTAGAATATTTGGGGTCTGATGAGGAGAGCCGTACCTGGAGGGGAGGCAGGCCGCCGGAGGCAGTGGCCACGTTGTGCACCCAGCCTCCTGGCCTGGTTCTCAGACGTCCTCCCTGAGGCTGGCTTTGCTGCAGAGACCAGGTGAAGTCTCACCAGCTGCCATCCTGCTCTAGACCGTGATCGGCTGGGCACTTCCATCAAACACAAGTTCTTCCCAACTGCCTGAGCCAGATGGCTGAGCCGGGGTCTGTGGAGACGCCGGGAGAGGGAGCCAGCACCTCCCAGCGTGAAGACTCTCCGTCCGCCACTGCCGCAGCCAGATGAAAGGATTCCGTGGCCAGCGAAGATAACACAGCTCGGCGCTGCCGCTGATCAAGGCTGCTGTCACCATCGCCAACTTTAATTAATGTCTTTGCATTATTCAGGCCTTGGAGAGATGCTGTGAGCAGACAGGTGGACGCGCCGGGAACACCCCCCCTCCCGGCCAGGGCTGGGGTGCGGGGTCTGCATGGTGTGGTCCCGGCCAGAGGGGAGAAGTTTCTACCGATGACTGATTCCAAGTCATTAGATTTTGAGTCATTGTTCTCGAACACTCCTTCAAAGACAGATCATAAATGACGCTTTGGGATCTCAGAGAAAAAACTGAACATTGTTTTGAGACGGCCCCCACCACCCTGCCCTGTATGTCCTGAGCATGTGCGCGTGGTGCTGGGAGGCCCCTCCTGGGCCTCTCCCGTGGCCCGGACTTCCTCTCCAGAGCTGCGGGCCCTGCTTCCCCTCTCCTGGGACCTGCCATTGCTCGTTGCCCCTGGCAGGCAGCCTACAAGTCTGGCGGGCAGTGTCCAGCCCACAGCCCCACGCAGGATAGTGAGTGCGTGGCTCAGGAACAGGAAGACTCCGCCCACAGCCTCGGGGCTGCCCGCTCTGTGCGCCCCCCTGGGCCAGGTCCACGGCTGCCCCTCTGCCTTGCTCACGGGGCGTGTCCCCTGGCATCATGTCTGGTCACCAGAGTCCCAAGAAGCCCTGCAGACATAGTACCCTGCTGGTGGGAGGGGGCACCCTGTGGCCCATCAGGACAGCCGAGAGCCGTGCGGAGATGCCTGGAGGCTGGGGGTGACAGCAACCAGAAGAGCAGGGTGGGGCCATACTCCTGAGCAGACGTGCCGCCGGGGGCCTCCCCGCGAGCCCAACCTCCCGATGTGCTCACCAACCAGTGCTCTGCAGGGGGGAGGCGCTGCCCGCAAAGCCCTCCACTGCTACAACCCTGCCCCTTTGGCCCCACCTGGGGCAGAGCATGTGCAGGCGACGCCCCTGGGAGCCCCGGAGCCACCGGGTTGGCCCTGGAGGGGGAGGAGCCCCTGCAGAGCTGTGGAGATTTGTGGAAGTGGGCCACGCACTCCCGGGGCAGCTGGCAGAGGGGAAGATGGCAGTTTGGGATTCTGATTTTTTTGTGTGGTGCTGAGGATGGACCCCAGGGTGTCACACATGCCAAGCAACCAGCACCCCACAAGAGCGGAGACCGCAGTGTGGCCACGGACAGCCTGGGAGCAGGCTGGGTGAGGGACGGCACCAGCATGCAGGGAACAAACCCCCAGACGTGTCCAGAGACAGCCCAGAACATCCAGACGCCTCCGGGAAACCCAGTGACCTCCACACACATCTGGAAACGTGTGACACTGGGCCCCAGAGCGCAGGGACAGCCGCCGTGGGTTTAACCGTGCCGGCGTCTGCGCTGCCCCGCCGCCCCAGGCCGGACATGCCGCCCGGAGCAGAGGGCAGAGCCTGGGCTGAAAGGGGCGGGGTCTGTGTGCTGCCTGGCACTCCCCTCCGTCCACACACGCTGACCGCCTGCTCGGTGCCAGCAGCCCCGGGGGCCGAGGAAGACGTCTCGGCAGCGGGGTGGGAGGGGGGGCTGAAACGGGCCCCATCCTGGCCGGGCGGGGTGTGACCTGAGGGGCACTTGGGGTCCAAGCTATGGCCCAACGCGCCAGGGACCGAGTCTGACCCAGCGGCGGGTGGGCGCGGGGTGAGTGACCGCGTCTGTGGGTGGCTGCCCCGTGTTCTGGGGAGATGCTCTGAGGAGCTGCAGGCTGAGCCCCAGGCTGAGCGAAGCCTCGGGGAGCGCGGCCTGCGGCTTTCGTCTGCTCTCCAGCTTGGAAGCGTCCTTGTCGCTCGTTAATCCATCCACTGCAGCTCCGCGGCCCATGGCCAGGCCGGCCCAGCCATCGGCCCTGGCCTCTGCGCCGTGGGAGCCGGGGCGCCGCTGGGTGCAGCCGAGCCCACCACTGGGGAGCCCCTGGGGCACTGCTCCTGACCACGCAGGGCCGCTGCTGCCGCCGAGCCCCCCGCTCCTCCTGAGCCCACAGAGCCCGGGACAGCCCTGCCCTCTGCCCTCGGACCCAGCCAGCGATGGGCGCGGTGGGGCCCCTGCGCCCCGCCCCACACACACAGGGCGTGTTCGCATCCCAGACCACAGCAGGGGCCAGAGCACCCAGCAGACGGGATCTCACCTGGGTCTCCCCATGAAGAGGGAAATTCTCATCAGGACCCCAGCAAAGTCCTGCTCCCACTGTTCAAAACAGACAGACGAGAGCCTCCAGCCACCTGCGGCCACCCTCACGGACCGCAGGCCACACACCTGGGGGGCCACAGTGCCTTGTGGGCACACGTGGACACCACCCACACCCGCCCTGACCACCGGTCTCACAGGGCTAGCTTCCGGCCCCAGTCTGGCTGCCCAAAAGCAAACCTGGCCTGCCCTCTAGTGGCCATCAACTGCATTCACACACACATGACCCATGTACCCTTAGAAACGTGTGTACACACCAGGAATACATGCGCACACCTGTGTGCATGCGCTCACACAGACTGCATCACCACAGGCGCACGTGTACATACATTTGGGAACACGGATGCACATTCGTGCATGCACACATAACGTGGAGCCAGCCGTGTGTGAACTCGAGCACACGTCACTGAGCCATTTGGCCAGGTGTAGCCTCCTCTGAGGCAGAGCGGGATTCGTGTCACCTGGAGGACACGCCTCTCCCTGGCCCCCAGAGCCTTCTTCCCTCACAGTGCAATGAGAGTGGCAAGTCCCAGGGGAGGCCTGCACACATGTACACATGCATGTACACACACATGCACACGCATGCACTCATCCCTGCAGATAGCTGGGTAGAAGAGGGCGTATGCAGGCCACAGGTGCTGACCGGGATTCACCACTGCCATCTTCTGGAGCGGCCATGGGGGCAGAGAAAGGCTAGAAAAGCACTCCACGCAGCTCTCCTTCCCTCCTTCCAAGGTCTCTCCTGCACCCCAGCCTGACCACCCCAGGCTGCACCCCAGCCTGACCACCCCGGGGCACACGGGGCAGGGGTACCCCAGCCTGACCTCCCCGGGGCCACACCTGAGCCGGGGCCCACACCCCAGCCTGACCTCCCTGGGGCACACGGGGCGGGGGGGCACCCCAGCCTGACCTCCCCAGGGCACACAGGGTGGGGGGCACCCCAGTCTGACCTCCCCAGGGCACACAGGGTGGGGGGCACCCCAGCCTGACCTCCCCAGGGCTACACACGCAGAGGCATCTCCGCTCCTGTGCAGACACCTTGCCTTTGCCCCGAGGTGCTCTGTGAACGCGGGTGCGGTGACACCCCTACACACAGCCACAGGCTTGTCCCTCATCTGAAAGCCTTCCCCTCTGTTCCCCAAAAACGACACAGCGCTCATCTCTCTGGATCCCTTTCTCTCGTGGCACCAAGGTGACCTGTCGGCAAAGGCCCTGAGACACAGCAAGGGAAGGGAGGCCCACAGGCAGCAGCTGCCCAGAGGTCCAGAGGGGTTGGGCCCTCGGCCACGGGCACTCAGCCCTGTCCGGGGAGGAGACCCCATGGGGGAGGGGTGGGCCCCACCCCTGAGCCTGGCTGACCCACTGTCCTCCCCCACAGAAAGTCCAGCAGTACACAGTCATTGTCCAGGCCACAGACATGGAAGGGAATCTCAACTATGGCCTCTCAAACACAGCCACAGCCATCATCACAGTGACAGACGTGAACGACAACCCGCCAGAATTCACCACCAGCACGGTGAGTACCTGCCGGGGCCCGGCCCGATGGGGCTGTGACTCGGTGGTGCTTGCTGATTCGAGGTGCTGTGTCAGGCACAGCCGTGGCTGGCAGAGGCAGCCCCAGCTACAACTAGTGGGACAGAGGACGGGGCTGCTAGGGAGAGAGGTGGCCCTCGGAGACGAGGCCCACAGGGCTGTAACACGGGCTGCGATGTGGCCCAAGCTGCCCGGGACTGGAGATGACAACTTGGCGTCTTTGTGGCGTCCATAGGAAGAGCTGGCAGGGTTGGCCAATGTCACAGCACTGTTGGAGCCTCATGTCACTGTCTTCCCAAGGGCACCCACCTGGGGAGACCCGGATGGGCCTGGGCCGGGCCCAAGTGCTTCCCCGCACCAGGGGCCTCTTCGCCTCGGTCCGGTGGACAGCGCAGATGGTCCTCCCTCTGCAGCCCATCAGCAGCGGGAAAACGTGATTGAGACTAGACTCCGCTCTGCCCCTGGGACTCGGTGATGGGCGTTCTTGGTGGATGTGGGTGCATTCACTGTGCGGCCACTGTGGGCCTAGAAAGGGGGGACACCCCCTGCCCCACCCCCAAACAACACGCTGTGAACAGCCCTGTGATCACGACTCCCTGGAGTCCCAGCCCCTGCCCCCCCTGCTCCCCAGGTCCACTGCGTGCAGACACACAAGCGCCCTGTGTCTGCAGGCTGGCCTTGTACCCCTGAGTGTGGGGACGGCAGGAGGGAGGCATGGCCAGCTGGGCCTGCAGAGGGGCTGCAGGTGTCAGGCCAGAGCTGCAGAGGGGAGGGTGCCCCCCAGGAGGGAGGGCCGCAGCAGCCCAGCCTGTGGGCAGCCAGGCCTGCCTCAGCCTCTGCTCTCCACCTAGGAGGGGTCATAACTGGGTACTGAGCAGGGACAGGGTGGAGGGAGGGGGACGGGCCCGGGAGGGGGAGGGACAAGGGAGGAGGCGGGAGTCTTCATGTGGTCACAGGACCCGCTGCCAGTGGAAAGCAGCTAGGACCCGGAGAAGGAGGCCACAGCAGGGGTGGGCATGGGGAGCCTGGCCCACCTGCTCCCTCCCTGCGGGGAGTGCACCTTTGCCAGAGCCGCCTCTCCTCCACTGTGGCCCAAGCCCTGGGTGGAGCTGGCAGAGGCCCTGGCGGCCGTGGGAGCGCAGCGCCATCTAGTGGGCGGACAGCCGGTGGCCCGGTGGAGGAAGGCGCTCAGACAGCTCGGGGCGCCCAGCAGGACAGCAGGGCACCAAGGCACTGGCTGGCCTGGCAGGCAGGTGCTGGTGTCCTGCCCCCAGAGGCCTCCCGATGGCAGGAAATGACCCCTCTGCAGGGCAGATCCCCCCCCAGTTCAGCAGCAGAAGCGGGGGGCGGCGGGCCCGGCTCCTGGGGAGTGGACCCGGGAACAGCCCCCGGTGTGGAGCGAATCCTAGAGAGCTGTGCCCTGGGCCTGCCGCCGCCTCCCAGCCTCGCCAGCCCTCTCCAGCGGCCCCTGCTGCCCTCAGGCAGGAGACTGCCCAAAGTTGCCACAGGCATCACCAAGCCAGGCACCAGTGGCCCTGGGTCCTGAGGACCCCCACAGCACTCAGACCCAGGGGCTGACACCCCTCCAGGCAGTGAGGGGTTTGGAGACACCTGTGGGCCACAGGAGCCTTGAGGGGCTGGCAGGGGAGCTCAGAGCCCCAGCCTGGAAACTGACTTCCACCCCCAATAGTGCCACCTTGCTTGTTCCGAGGTGCTGGCCGGGGGGCAGGGACCCCCACAGACACCTGAGTTCAGGGTGGGCAGAGAGCAAGTGGGCCCCGGCAGAGATGACACCCCACCGCCTACCCCCACGTGGGTGAACGCTGTCTTTTACATCCAAAAAGATCACACATCCACTATGTGCACTGCTACAACCCCACAATGCGGGCTCCGCCGCCCGCCAGCCGCCGCGTGGGCAGAGCCACTGCCAGGACTGTGAGGCCCAGGGCGTAGGGCATGGGTCCTGGTGGATGGCCAGTGGGCAAAGGAGGAAAAGCAGATTGTAGTCTGAAAGTCACCCCTGCCTTCCGCTGCTGCCCCTCCTCCCCGGCATGGCCCTCGGGACACCTGTGTCCCCAGGTTCAAGGTGGCCCTTGGCAGAGCCCCTCAAGACAGTGGCATGAGAGCCCAGGACACCATCTGTGCCTCACAGTGTGGACGGGCAGGCTGACCCCACTGCCACACACACACACACACACGCACACACACACACACACACTCGGGCAGCTGGGCTATTTTTATGGGGTTTAATCAAGAACAATCAGCAGAAGCTAAAGAGATGCCGAGGATTTGCATGATCCACTTCCTGCTCTCCACGGTTAATTAAAAGTTCTCTCCTCTTCCTCCATTGCCCACTGAAGAGCAGAGCCGAACTCCCCAGAGCAGGGTCTGGGGCAGCCATGCCAGCTCAGCCAGCAAGGAGGACACAAGCTCACACTCTGCCCTGCCCTCCCCCTCTCCCCAGGGCCCTCCTACTTGCCAGGACGCCTTCCTCCAGCCCAGCCCCTCCCTCTAGCTGGGCCCCTCCCACCCAGGCCCCTCCCCAGAGTCTGGGAGCTCTTGGTCCTTCTAGCTGGGCTAGTAGGGAGACCCCTGTGAGCGCAGGAAGTCTGGGTTGCATGTGGGTAACTGTCTGAAGACCGGACACCTGTGTGTCTCTAAGCGCAGCCTCTGCGGAAGCCGGGCCTCGCCCAGGGCATCGGCTGCCCTGGTGCCGTTCCGCCCCACCACTGACAGGCCTGGGCTTGCGCATCTGCGCCTCTAGGGAGGCACGGTGAGGAGGCCTGTGCTGCTGCTGTGTGTCCAGCTCTCAACTCAGAGCTTCCAGATCGCCCCTCCATCCCCTCCGCTGAGCTACGCTGGGAACGGGGGACAGGGCCGGGGAGGGGAGCTGGAGCCAGACCACCAGCCTCAAGCCTGCCTCCCACACTGGCCAGTTTCTGAGCTGGGCTTTGTGTGCCTCGGTTTCCTCCTCTGTCCCTATGGGAGAGGGGTCAGGAACACGGTGCATGCACGTGTTCATGGCCGGCAGAAGCAGTCCATAAACAACACAGCGACTATGTTGTTTTACACTGTTCTTCGTGATTATTGATGGCAGCGCTGGGCCAAGCCCTGGCCAGGGAGCCTCCCATGGTCTCCTGGGAGCCAACCCAGCCTCCCACCACATGGCTGGGTAGAGGCTAGGAGTTCCTTTTAGCTCCGTGTTAGTGCCTTCGGTGCTGCCACAGCAGCAGCTCTCCGAGCGCCGTCCACGGCGGAGCAGGCTCCGGCCCAGCCCAGCACACCGCCTCCTCCCCAACTCCTGCCCGCCAGAATCTCAGCTGCAGAGGCCAGAGGAGAGAACGCAGCCTCCCTGCTCCTTTGGAGTCTCAGAGCCGCCAATCCTGTCGTTCTGACTACTGAACACTCAGCCAACAGAAACACCTCCTGCCCCCTTTTTATCTTGTCATTCATGGGGCTTGAACTCAGGGCCTGGGCCCTGTCCCTGAGCTCTTCAGCTCAAGGCAAGCACTCTACCACCTGAACCATAGTGCTGCTTCTGGTTTATTGGAGGTAGGAGTCTCACAGACTTTCCTGCCCGGGCTAGCTCTTGAACCTGGATCCTCAGATCTCAGCCTCCTGAGTAGCTAGGATTACAGGCGTGAGCCACTGGTGCCCGGCTTCACCACTGTTTTATTAGGAAAGAAAAGTAAGGTTGGAGCACACGCTGTCACAGGAGAGGGCCACTGCAGGAGCGAGGCTGGGTGGAGGCCCCGGGGAGGGGCGCAGGCCGCATGCGCCAGGAGGATAGGAGCTCGCGAGCTGAGCGGCCCCGAGCTCCCACAGCCGAGGGCCATCAGGCAGGGGCTTCTCTCCCCCGTCGGCCCCCTCCTCACCCGCAAAGGGCTTAACCAGCAGCCCAGGCGTAGCTAGAGGAGCTGGGCCTTTCTCAGGCCCAGGACGGTGACAGAAGGCGAGGAGGTCCTAGCGATGGCTGCCCACGCCGTGTCTGCCGTCCGGGCCTGCTCCGTGCAGTTCCAGCCAGGCCCCTACCTTCCCCCCCAGGGACGCGGCCGGACGTGCACGAAGCCCGCGAGAGGCAGGCAGCGCTTGCGGCAGCCACAGCTTGCGGCCGGCGCAGGCCTGAGGAGCCGAGAGGGAACCACGCGCTGTGTCCCCCGGCAGCGCTGGCCAAGGGGCCGCGCAGAGCCGGCGTCACGCAGGCCTCCACGGATGTGGCCACCGAGGCCTCCTGAAGGAGCCGCCACGCCCGCCCGGTGCCAGGGCCCTGCCTGTCTGGGGGTGCGGTCTCCTGTGAGGACACGGCCACCCCAGGCTGAGGACAGGGAGGGCCACACCGGGCCTTCAGCGCTCTATGGCTGCCCACTGCGGCCACAAGGACCAGAAGGGCCGGGCCGCACCTGCCTGCCAGCAGCCGAGACTGGAAGGATGAGGGTGGCTCAGCTGGACCGCTCCGGCCGCACCGGCCGCTGCAGCCGTGCGGCTCTGACGGGGAGGCCCGCCATGGGCTCAGGGCGGCTGCACCCGGTCCCGGGTCTTCAGTGTGTGTTGCTCCCTGGTGACTGTGGACATGCCTGTTCCCCTCACGGAGCCTGCCACACCACTTCTGCCTCATGCACGCCCTGCAGCCCAGAATACCCACTACTGTCCCCTACACCCCTACAGCCCAGAACACCCACTACCCCCCATGCACCTGCTATAGCCCAGAATACCCACACCGCCCCATACACCCCCTACAGCCACCAGAACACCCACTACCACCCCATACACCTGCTATAGCTCAGAATACCCACTACCGCCCATACACCAGCTACAGCCCAGAACACCCACTACCACCCCATACACCCCCTACAGCCACCAGAACACCCACTACCACCCCATACACCCCCTACAGCCACCAGAACACCCACTACCACCCCATACACCCCCTACAGCCACCAGAACACCCACTACCACCCCATACACCCCCTACAGCCACCAGAACACCCACTACTGCCCCATACACCAGCTACAGCCCAAAATACCCACTACCACCCATACACCCCCTACAGCCCAGAACACCCACTACCGCCCCATACACCCCTACAGCCCAGAATACCCACTACCACCCCTGCTATAGCCCCCAGAATACCCGCTACCACCCATACGCCAGCTACAGCCCAGAACACCCACTACCACCCCATACACCAGCTACAGCCCAGAATACCCACACCGCCCCATACACCAGCTACAGCCCAAAATACCCACTACCGCCTCATACACCAGCTACAGCCACCAGAACACCCACTACCGCCCATACACTCCCTACAGCCACCAGAACACCCACTACCCCCCATACACCAGCTACAGCCCAGAATACCCACTACCGCCCCGTACACCCCCTACAGCCCAGAACACCCACACCGCCCCATACACCACCTACAGCCCAGAACACCCACTACCGCCCCATACACCACCTACAGCCACCAGAACACCCACTACCGCCCCATACACCTGCTATAGCCCAGAACACCCACTACCGCCCCATACACCAGCTACAGCCCAGAACACCCACTACCACCCCATACACCAGCTACGGCCCAGAACACCCACTACCACCCCATACACCTGCTATAGCCCAGAACACCCACTACCGCCCCATATACCCCCTACAGCCACCAGAACACCCACTACCACCCCATACACCTGCTATAGCCCAGAATACCCACTACCGCCCCGTACACCAGCTACAGCCCAGAATACCCACACCGCCCCATACACCTGCTATAGCCCAGAATACCCACTATCGCCCCATACTCCCTACAGCCACCAGAATACCCACTACCGCCCCATACACCCCCTACAGCCGAGAACACCCACTACCCCCCATACACCAGCTACAGCCCAGAATACCCACACCGCCCCATACACCTGCTATAGCCCAGAATACCCACACCGCCCCATACACCAGCTACAGCCCAGAATACCCACACCGCCCCATACACCAGCTACAGCCCAGAATACCCACACCGCCCCATACACCAGCTACAGCCCAGAATACCCACACCGCCCCATACACCTGCTACAGCCCAGAATACCCACACCGCCCCATACACCAGCTACAGCCTAGAATACCCACACCGCCCCATACACCAGCTACAGCCCAGAATACCCACTACCCCCCATACACCAGCTACAGCCCAGAACACCCACTACCACCCCTAGCCCCCTAAAGTCCAGTAGTTCCCCTAAGGCCAGCCTCTCAGCCACACCCACTGAGGACTTGCGCTCAGTTCAAGCCCTTGCTCCTTTGCTCACAGCAGTGTGACTTTGACTGGTTCTATGAAGTTTGCTAAAGGCCAGTCACCGAGGGCCCAGCAAGCGGCCGAGCTGCTTGTCCTGAGTGCAAATCCTGGGCGTGTCCCTGAGAGGGGACACCATGGTCTTTCCCAGCATCCTCCCTCCCGCCCGGGGTCGCTGCATGGGGTCTGGCCGGCGCTGTGAGGACTGTCTGGCACTGTCTCACCGCTGGCACTGGGAGAGCACCTCTGAGCAGATTTTCCAGCATCCTGGCTCCATTTCGCGTCCTGCCCCTCTCCCTGCTACGGCGGCTGGGGGAGGGTGGGGCTTGAGCTGGAAGGGGCAGAGGTCGCTTCCACTGCCTCTCGGGAAGGATTGCATGTGAATCCCAGCTTGCAGCCCAGGCGAGAAGCGCCATCCCGGCACCACGGTGACTCCGTCTTCCCCGATCCCCGCCCTGCTTCCCAGAGGCACACCAGGCTTTATCGGTGCCTTGGAATCTGAAAAATTAAATTAAAAAGTCATTATGTCCAGAGGATGGCGAACAAGAGAATCGCAGCCAGACTTAGCGGCTAGGGCCCTTCCTAGAGAGCGTTATTCCACCTGCATGAATTAAAGTCGACGCTGTACGAGGTGTACCCAGGAGCCTGCAGGACGCACAGCCCGCGTGGGCGCCGGCCAGAGGCAGCGCAGAGGCTCGGCCAGGCCGGCGATGGGCTTCCCGGCCACGAGGAGCCGGCCCGGCCACGAAGAGTCCGTCAAGGGGCATGGCGGGCGTGTCAGGTGTGGACGCGGCTCTCTGGGGCTGGGGCAGGGGGACCTCAATTCTACCAGTGCCTTCACCAACAGGCCCTGGTCCCCTGACCCTGGCAGCTATACAGGAGTGTCAGAAAGCATGTTTCTGGAAAATGAAGGACTCAAAAGCTACTGGACAGCCATGATGCCTCACCAGGGTCCACTACACTGACCGCGGCAGCTTGGCCTAAAAGAGAACATGTCATATCAGAAGCTGACAAGTCCCAGAAAGTCTGACTTCCGGCCCAGCTGAACCCAGGCCCCAGCAGCGTCCCTGAACCCGGGAGCTCTGCTCAGCAAGGCTCTCGGCAGGCTGAGTTCTCAGGTTGTGAGCAGCCCTCGCCACCGACCCATCCCACACCTTCAGACCCTGGCGCTGACCAGGCCGGCCGAGGCAGGGGCCCCACGCCTGAGCTGTGGTGACCACTTCTGCAGCAGTTCTCAATAAGGGTCTAGAACAGGTTCTGCAGCTATTTTCTGTGAAGGGCCAGATGGTGACCATACTGTCTCTGTCACGACGACCCAGCTCCACACCACAGCAGATGGCATGTAAATCATGGGCTTGGGTGTATGCCAATAAAACTTTATTTACAATAATAACACGCAAGCTGGGTTCAGCCTTACTTTTTGCCAGCCTCTGTGCTAGACCAAGCCAGCCACACCCCAGAATAAATTTGGGGTGATGTAGCTTCAAAACCAGAGGCGCTGGTGGCTCATGCCTATAATCCCAGCTACTCAGTAGGCTGAGATCTGAGGATCACAATTCAAATCCAGCCCAGACAGCAAAGTCTGTGAGACTCTTATCTCCAATAAACTACTCAGAAAAAGCCAGAAGTGGCACTGTGACTCAAGGCACTGTGCCAACCTTGAGCAACAAAAGAGCCCGGGAACAGTGCCCAGGCCCAGAGTCCAAGCCCCAGGACTGGCAAACACAAAACCAGAGGTGGGATGGCTGTAGGTGCCCTTCCGCAGGGAGCCGCCCTGCCTGTGCGCCTCTGTGGCTGGCCCCCCAAGCCTGAGGCCGACCAGGACAGAGGCCGCAGCATGCCTGTCGCGCACGCATCCTCTTCTGCCCAGGTGGAAAGGCTCAGAGGAGATGGCAAGGGAGGCGTGACTTGTATGTGTGTGCACCGATGTGAGCATGTGTCTGAGCCTGTGTGGACACGCACACCGTGGTGAAGCTCACCTTGTCCTCCCTCAGCACCGTGGACGCTGTGGAATGAGCCCAGCCCGAACCTGAGCAGCAACCCCGCTGCCTCCGGGTGCGGCAGGGCCTTGCCTCCCCGGCCCCCCGGCCTCCACGGCCTCCCCGGCCTCCCGGCCTCCCGGGCTCTCCCGCCCCACAGGGTTGTCACCCTCTGTGTTCTTACATTTTGCAGTTTTCCGGAGAAGTCCCAGAAAACCGGGTGGAGACGGTGGTGGCCAACCTCACTGTGATGGACCGAGACCAGCCCCACTCACCCAACTGGAACGCCGTGTACCGCATCATCAGCGGGGACCCCTCGGGACACTTCAGCGTGCGCACGGACCCCATCACCAACGAGGGCCTGGTCACCGTGGTGAAGGTGGGTGAGCCGGAGCCAGGTACGCAGACCGGGGCACGGGGCGTGCACACGGTGCACACGACACGCACGTAATATGCCGGCGAGGCTCATGTGGCGCTGTGGTGCTTGGAGACCGCCCCCCCGCTGACCGCCCTGGCCCGGTGTCGGAGGCGGTGCGGGCACACGGCAGCTGCAGGAGGATTGAAGCCTGCTTGCGAGCACCTTGGGGCTGGGACGGCTCCGCCTGCCTGGTTACAAGGCTGTCCCATACAGACGTCCACGGCCATCCTGCGTCCACGGTCGCACGTCTCTGTCCCCCACACTCCCCACCCCGTGCTCTACCCCTCTTCAGCCCAGCCACCGCCCCCTGGAGAGGTGCTACCCAGCTTCCCAGGGCCACGCCCCTGGCCCCTCCTCTGTGGAGCTGCAGGCCTGGCAGTTCTCAGAAGCAAGGAGGGCCGCAGGCCGGCCTAGTTGAAGCCCATAATCCCAGCAGTTCAAGGCTGTGCCTGGCCTCAAGCTTTGTGAGTTTGCATCTCAGGCAAAGGGCCCAGTAGCAGGGGTTTGTGCTCCCAAGCTGTGAGGAAGCACAGAGCCGGTGCCAGAGCCACTGCCGCCCCAGCAGCACAGCGAAGCGCAAACAGGAGGACTGAAGTCCAGGCTGTCACAAGTGTAATCCGAGACTGTCTTGGGGTGATGCGTGCAGTGGAACGCCACACAATGCGAGGCCCCGAGTTCAAACACGAGCACTAGGCTGGAGGGGACGAGCATTTCACCAGCCTGCGGTGCCCTGACCTTCCCTAGTCCTCAACTGGCCCCCCAAAGCCCTGGGAATGAGATGCCCCCTCTGACTGTAGGAGGCCCCTGATGGCAGCAGATCAGCCGGTCACGTGCCGGATCGCCAGAGAAGTGGGCAGAAGTGCCTTGCCCAGCAGGGCCAGAGTCCTGTGCAGCCATGGGCCATGTGGACAGGGTCCTGTGCAGCCATGGGCCATGTGGACAGGGTCCTGTGCGGCCATGGGCCATGTGGACAGGGTCCTGTGCGGCCATGGGCCATGTGGACAGGGTCCTGTGCGGCCATGGGCCATGTGGGCAGGGTCCTGTGCGGCCATGGGCCATGTGGGCAGGGTCCTGTGCGGCCATGGGCCATGTGGGCAGGGTCCTGTGCGGCCATGGGCCGTATGTGGGCCAGGTCGTGTGTGGACCGGGTGTGTATTGGCAGGGCTGTGTGGACAGACCATGTGTGGACAGGCCGTGTGTGGACAGACCGTGTGTGGACAGACCATGTGTGGACAGACCGTGTGTGGACAGACCGTGTGTGGACAGGGCCGTGTGTGGACAGGGCTGTGTGTGGACAGGGTCATGTGTGGCCATGGGGCCCAGGCACCGCTTGCACACTGTGCAGTTCAGCTCGCAGAGGGCAGGCAGTACATGAGCCTCCCTTCCCCTGGAATGGTTTGGGGGGCCACCCCCCCCCAGAGTGTGCCCACCTCTGAGCCGAGGGTCCCCCCAAGGGGGAGCAGGCCAGACACTGCCGCAGGTCCAGCGGCCTCCCTGAAATGGTTGCCGCAGATTACCTCTTGATCCCTCCCTGGGCATGGGGTTTTATTTTGCCTCTTATTGGTCGTAACAGTCTTTCTGCCAGGCTGCTCGCCGGGGCCGGTGGCACACTTCTTAGCACAGGACATGCAGCATTCTCCGTGTCCCCCAGGGACACAGGACAGCTCAGCTCCTTGGGGCGCTGCCGGGCCCTCGTGAAGTGGGAGTGGCCGAGCCGTGGGCCTGGGCCCGGTATGGGGGTCTTGGGCGGAGGGGGGGAGGAGGTGTGTCCAGGCTTTAGCATCTGTTTCGTTCCTATCTGTGTGGGGCTGTCACAGTGTGGTCTGGGCCGGTCCTGGGCGCTGGCTGGCATGAGGTCCAGGACTGAAGGGATAAATTGCAGTTGGGGATGGGGGACTAAGCACCCATGTAACCTCTGGGGAGGGGCCAGACTTGCAGCCAGAGTCCCCCGGGAGCCCCAGTACTGACGGGCTTGGGACAGGGGCGGGGGGAGGAGGGGAACAGGAGAGGTCAGCTGACCTGCAGTGCACCATGCTGCTCAGGGGCAGAGGTGCCCAGCCCCACCCAGAACTGCGGCCTCAGCACACCCCCGGTTCAGGGGGGTCGGTGAGCTCACCCCTCCCTCAGCGGGCAGGAGAGCAGGCCTGGGGAGAGCAGTCGCGGTGGTCACCAGGGGCGGTCGGGGCCTCCCTCCAGACCCTCCTGAGGCCCCGTCGGCCTCCTCCCCTGCCCTTCAGCCTCTCACCTTGTCCTTCCACGCTCTCCCCCCACACTGGCTTTCTGTGGCAGCTGAAGCCATAGGTGTGGGGCACCAGCCTGGCCACGTGGCTGCTCTTGAGAAGACCCACGCAGGGGCCGTGGGCGCCCAGGGACAGCCCAGGCTCCCACCGACCTTCCTGCGGCCTTCTGTCCTCCCTCCCTGCCCCCCTCCCTTCTTCCCACCTTCCCGGGAACGCGCTACCTGCACTTGTTCCTCACCTCCGAGGGCGCTGGGCCCAGCCCCAGCCGGCGCGTCACGGCCGCCGTGAGGAGTGAGCGAGGTTCCCGCTGCCACCGGAGGGCCCGGTGATGGCAGTGCCCCAAGGCAGCATCACACGGAGAGACAGCGTGTGTGCGTGTGTGCGTGACTGTGTGTATGAGCGTGTGCATGTGTGCACATGTGTGTGAGAGCACTATGTGGGGGTGAATGTGTGTGACTATGTGTATGAGCGTGTGCATGTGTGCACATGTGTATGTGTGTGTTTGGGGGTGAGCATTGTGTGTACGTACATATATGTGTGACTGAGCATGTGTATGTGTGTACATGTGTGTGTGTTGGGGTGTGACTGTGTATGAGCATGTGTGTGTACATGTGTGAGTGTGTGAGAGCATGTGTGTGCTGTGCATGATACGTGTAAGAGCATGTGCATGTGTGCACATGTGAGAATACATGTGTATATGTTTGGCAGTGAGGGTGTGTGACTATGAGCATGTGCATGTGTGTGCATGCGTGTGAGAGCATGTGTATGTGGGGGTGACTATATGTATGAGCATATGTATGTGTGCACATGTGTGTATGTGTTTAGGGGTGTGTTTGTGGCTGTGTATGAGCATGTGTGTATACACATGTGTGTGAGAGCATGTATATTTAGGGTCAGCATTGTGTGACTGTGTACGAGCATGTGTGTGTGCATGTATGAGTGTGTGAGAGCATGTGTGTTTGGGGGTTAAGCGTATGACTGTATGTTTATGGGCATGTGTATATGTGCACGTGTTGTGTGTGAGAGCATGTATGTGTGCTTGGGGGTGAGCATGTGTGTGTGCATGTGACTATGTATATAAGTATGCGTATGAGTGCACATGTGTGTGTGCTTGGGGGTGGGGTGAGTGTGTGTGGGCATGTGTGCATGTATGTGACTATGTGTATGAGCATGAGTATGTGTGCACGTGTATGAGCGTACATGTGTGTTTGGGGGGTGAGAGTGTGTGTGTCTCTATCTCTGTCTCTGTCTCTCTCTCTCTCTCTCTCTCTCCCTATGAAGCCACCAGGGTTCTTTCTTATGGCCCCGCTCTAAAGCCCTTTGCTAACTTGAACCCCTCCAGAGTCCCCGCCCAGCCTCACGGTGGGGCTTAGGGTCCCCCCGAGTTCCAGGGCTCCTCCCTGGGTCCCTGGCCTCAAACATTCCTCCACCTTCCTGCTTTTGCTGCATGCGTGCGTGCCGTGCATAGTACAGGGAGGTGAGAGCAACATTTCCAGGCGTGTAAACAGTGTCTGGATCTGCTTTGCAGCGCCCCTCCTCCCCGCCCCCCGCCCAAACCATTTCAGGGCTCACAGCGGCTTCGCCATGCCCGCCCTTGCTCCCCGGTCGTTTTTTTGGAGTGTATGAATCGCACCAAGGGGTTTCGTGGTGGTGACTCAGGCGCGTGTATATTGTTCTCTCAGAGTACCCCCCCACGGCTTTCCCTCCCCCACCCCACCCTCCCCCCACGGCTTTCCCTCCCCCACCCCACCCTCCCCTCCCCACCCTCCCCCCACGGCTTTCCCTCCCCCACCCCACCCTCCCCTCCCCCCACCCTCCCCCCCACGGCTTTCCCTCCCCCCACCCCACCCTCCCCCCCACGGCTTTCCCTCCCCCCACCCCACCCTCCCCCCACGGCTTTCCCTCCCTCCACCCAACCCTCCCCCCCCTACAGCTTTCCCTCTCCCCACCCCCCCTCTCCCACGGCTTTCCCTCTCCCCACCCCACCCTTCCCCCAATGACTCTCTTTGAGGTTCCCATAACACCTCACAGAGTTGTGCATGTTGCAAAATTATTTGCCCTTTATCTTTCTTTTCTCTATCTTCCTCTGAGAAGGGTGATCTCACTTGATATCTTTACTTATATCTACAAAGAGTCTGTTTCTAAATAAGGGCACACTCTTAAGTTCCAGGTATACGTACCTTGGGGGGACCACCATTCAACCCAGTACACCTGGCAGGGCACCCCTGGACAGGCAGCCCTGGGGGCATCACATCGGTGTGAGCAGGTAGGGGTCTTCACACCAGTGTGAGCAGATAAGGGAGCCTCACACTGGTGTGAGTAGGTGTTTGTGTGAGTGGGTAGGGGTCTTCATGATGGTATGATGGGTGGGGGGTCTCACACTGGTGTGAGCAGGTAAGGGGGCCTCACACTGGTATGAGTAGGTAGGGGTCTTTGTGCTTGTGTGAGTGGGTAGGGGTCTTCATGATGGTATGAGTGGGTGGGGGGGGTCTCACACTGGTGTGAGCAGGTAAGAAGGGTCTCACTAGTGTGAGTAGGTAAAGGGGGGCCTCACACTGGTGTGAGTAGGTAGGGGTCTTCATGCTGGTGTGAGTGGGTAGGAATCTTCATGATGGTATGAGTGGTAGGGAGCCTCACACTGGTGTGAGCAGGTAAGGAGGGCCTCACACTGGTGTGAGTAGGTAGGGGTCTTCGTGCTTGTGTGAGTAGGTAGGAGTCTTCATGATGGTATGAGTGGTAGGGAGCCTCACACTGGTATGAGCAGGTAAGGAGGGCCTCACACTGGTGTGAGTAGGTAGGGGTCTTCATGATAGTGTGAGTGGGTAGGAAGTACTTTCACTGGTGTGAGCAGTGGCAGGCTTCATGCTGGTGTGATCAGACCCCTACTTTCCTAGTGCCAGATGAGAGTAGTTTCTGGGGCTATCACCCAGGAGCTCAGCTTCAGTCTCGGGGGGCGGGGGGGCAGGCCTAGCTGGGGTCCTTTGCCTCAGCCTCTCCTCCTGCTGCCAAATCCCACAGGAAGCCAGAGACAAGGGTACCTGGAGAGAACTGCAGTGGGCAGCACCCCCTGAAGATCACAGCCTAGGGAGCCGGAGGGGCCTGGGGTGGGCGTGGGCAGTTCACCCCTGTCCTCCAGTCTGGGGAGCCAGAGGGGCCTGGGGTGGGGTGTGAGCAGTTCACCCCTGTCCTCCAGTCTGGGGAGCAGGAGGGGGCTGGGGTGGGGTGTGGGCAGTTCACCCCTGTCCTCCAGTCTGGGGAGCAGGAGGGGCCTGGGGTGGGGTGTGGGCAGTTCACCCCGTCCTCCAGTCTGGGGAGCAGGAGGGGCCTGGGGTGGGGTGTGGGCAGTTCACCCCTGTCCTCCAGTCTGGGGAGCAGGAAGGGCCTGGGGTGGGGTGTGGGCAGTTCACCCCTGTCCTCCAGTCTGGGGAGCAGGAGGGGCCTGGGGTGGGGTGTGGGCAGTTCACCCCTGTCCTCCAGTCTGGGGAGCAGGAGGGGCCTGGGGTGGGCAGTTCACCCCTGTCCTCCAGTCTGGGGAGCAGGAGGGGGCTGGGGTGGGCAGTTCACCCCTGTCCTCCAGTCTGGGGAGCAGGAGGGGGCTGGGGTGGGGTGTGGGCAGTTCACCCCTGTCCTCCTGTCTGGGGAGGAGGCGGGGGCTGGGGAGTAAGAGTGGTCAGCTCACCCCTCTCTCCTGCAGTCTGTGGACTATGAGCTGAACCGTGCCTTCATGCTGACCGTGATGGTGTCCAATCAGGCGCCCCTGGCCAGCGGGATCCAGATGTCCTTCCAGTCCACGGCAGGGGTAACCATCTCCGTCACAGACATTAATGAGGCGCCCTACTTCCCGTCCAATCACAAGCTGATCCGCCTGGAGGAGGGCGTGCCCGCGGGCACGGCGCTCACCACCTTCTCCGCCGTGGACCCCGACCGCTTCATGCAGCAAGCCGTGAGGTGAGGCGGATGGCCCCTGCCCTGCCCACGCCCTCGGGTGGGGTCCTCCCGTTCCAGGCTCCCTGGACAAGCCTCACTCCATCCATGTCCAGAAGGCCAGCAAGGTGTTGACTGCCTGGCCTGTCTGACCCTGGCTTCACTGCAGTAATGCGTGACCTGGTCACACCACGTGCCCTTGCTGTCCCCACTTCTCAGGTGGGGACACAGACAGCACATGCCACCCAGCATGGCCAGGGCACGGTGCTGCGGCTGTGGGAGGAGGCTGGGGCTCCCTGACGGGGCCTGGGCCGCGGCTGCGGGAGACGGCCAGGGCATGGTGATGGGGCCGCGGCTGCGGGAGGAGGCCAGGGCGCAGTGCTGCGGCTGCGGGAGGAGGCCAGGGCGCAGTGCTGCGGCTGCGGGAGGAGGCCAGGGCGCGGTGACGGAGCCTGGGCCGCGGCTGCGGGAGGAGGCCAGGGCACGGTGCTGCGGCTGCGGGAGGAGGCCAGGGCGCGGTGACAGAGCCTGGGCCACAGCTGCGGGAGGAGGCCAGGGCGCAGTGCTGCGGCTGCGGGAGGAGGCCAGGGCGCGGTGACGGAGCCTGGGCCGCGGCTGCGGGAGGAGGCCAGGGCACAGTGCTGCGGCTGCGGGAGGAGGCCAGGGCGCAGTGCTGCGGCTGCGGGAGGAGGCCAGGGTGCGGTGACGGAGCCTGGGCCGCGGCTGCGGGAGGAGGCCAGGGCGCAGTGCTGCGGCTGCGGGAGGAGGCCAGGGCGCAGTGCTGCGGCTGCGGGAGGAGGCCAGGGCACGGTGATGAGGCCTGGGCCGCGGCTGCGGGAGGAGGCCAGGGCGCAGTGCTGCGGCTGCGGGAGGAGGCCAGGGCGCAGTGCTGCGGCTGCGGGAGGAGGCCAGGGCACGGTGATGAGGCCTGGGCCGCGGCTGCGGGAGGAGGCCAGGGTGCGGTGACGGAGCCTGGGCAGCGGCCTGTCCCGTCCCGCTGTGGACCTCAGACCTGGGCCAGCCTGCAGGGCCCCAGCAGGGAGAGCCACACTGTGTGCCCTGAGCTCCAGGCACTGGGCCGGCAGCCCCCGTGGGTGCAGCCCCGCGTCAGGGGCTCTCGTGCGCTCTGACCTTCCTCAGCCCTGCTCCTCCGCAGGTACTCAAAGCTGGCCGACCCCGCGAGCTGGCTGCGCATCAACACCACCAACGGGCAGATCACCACTGCAGCTGTCCTGGATCGCGAGTCCCTCTACACCAAGAACAACGTCTACGAGGCCACTTTCCTGGCAGCCGACAACGGTGGGTCCCGTCCCAAGGAGCCGCTGGGAGGGCATCTCCGTGGCTGCTGCTGTGCTCAGGGAGAGGAAGGGGCCCAGTACTCAGAGGCTCACCTTGCAGGGTGCCTGGAGCGCTAGACGGGCCGGAGCGGGGAGCCCTGCACCCCCAGCCACGCAGTCTCAGCTTACCACCGCTTTTGAAGACATGCTCTGTGCTTGTCCTCAGTGCTCCTCCATAGTTTCTGGAAGATTCAAGAGACATCCTGTAGGAGCTTTTTATGCACCTACCTGCTTCAGTAGAGGCCCTTGGCCATTAGCGTAGAGGTCAAAGTGGCCATGACCAGAATGCTCTGCCACTGCCGCCTCCAGTCCTCCACCCACAGCACCTCCAGCTAGAGCCAGAGCACAGGCTGGGGCTGGGTCAGGGTTCAGGGTGCTCTCTGAGGAGCCCCGAGGCCCAGCGGAGCACCTCTGGCCACACCAAGGCCAGACGCAAGCAGGGCCCCTCCATGGACCCCACCTTCCACCCAGCCTCGGCTTGAGCGTCCGGCTCCGCCTCAGGAGGAGGTGGCGGCCATTTGGGGTGGGTCTGGGAGCCCTGCTAGGTAGGAGGCAGAGGAGGTCTAGGAAGCGTGCCAGGTGGGCGCCAGGCTGCGGCCATGCAGAGCCTGCCTGCCCTGGGCCCCCGGGCATAGCTGCGACCCACATGGTCCAGCCTGGAGGGCCTGTGCCGCCATGGCTCTAGGTGTGGCTGCGGGGCTGGGCCTGCTTCTGTCTGCTGGTCACGTGGCTGTGGTGGGCGTACCAGGAGTGAGCCGCACTGTCACCGGTGTGTCACCCGTGTCGCGTGTGTCCATCCCCCAGGCATCCCCCCGGCCAGCGGCACCGGGACCCTGCAGATCTACCTCATCGACATCAACGACAACGCCCCTGAACTGCTGCCCAAGGAGGCACAGATCTGCGAGAAGCCAGGCCTCAACGCCATCAACATCACCGCCGCCGACGCCGACGTGGACCCCAACATCGGCCCCTATGTCTTCGAGCTGCCCTTCGTCCCGGCTGCTGTGCGGAAGAACTGGACCATCACCCGCCTGAATGGTGAGTCTGTCCTGGCAAGGGGGGGCCACGTCTGCACCCGTGCTCCCCGGAGGAGGGGGCGGGGGTGGCCGTCCAGTCCTTGTCCTCTCGGGCAGCTCCACACAAGGCTGGGCACTGCTCACGCCTCATGCTGGGCCAGCCCGGCCCGCCCGACGCTCCCACACCGGGGCCTTGCCTCGGGCTCCTGCCAGGGCATCGTTTGGGGGGCACAGACCTCTGACAAGCCGGCAGCCTGGGAACTTCACACTCTCTCAGACCTCCAGTTTTACAGCCCAAACTCCTTTTACATCTCTTAACTATCATCCGTAGAAATGTCCAGACACACTGCTCTTCCCTTTTTTTTTTTTTTTTTTGGTCATGGGGCTTGAACTCTGGGCCTGGGCGCTGTCCCTCAGCTCTTCAGCTCAAGACTAGTGTTCTACCACTTGAGCCACAGCACCACTTCCGGCTTTTTCTGCCTATGGAGTGCTGAGGTATCGAACCCAGGGCCTCATGCATGGGAGGCAAGCACTCGACCCCTGAGCCACCTTCCCAGCTCCGTGTTTCCATTTCTTCTGTGAACTGTCTGTGAATGCGTCTGCCTTTTTTCTCTGTGGATATCTTTTTTCTTAGCTGATCTGTTTTAGTTTTGGGTTTTGTTTGTTTTTTGTTTTGGAAGTGCTGGAGTCTGAACTCAGGGCTTTCTGTGTGCCGGGCAGGCATCCACACGGAGCCGGGCCTCCCGCTCTTTCCTACACTGGTTGGTGTGGGGATAGGGTCTCACTTTTTGACCAGGCCATGCATGGACTGCAATCCTGTTTCATCCTCCGCAGAAGCTGGGTCACCCCAGCCAGCTTCCTTCTGTAGAGACAAAGCCTCATGAAGCTCTTGCTGATCTAGAAACATAATCCTCCCGAGAGGGCAGGCATGTACCACCATGCCCAGCTATTGGTCAAAAAGGGTCTTGTAAACTTTGCCCAGGCTGGCCTCAAACCCACATCCTCCCAATCTCTGCCTCCTGAGCAGCTAGCGTTCCATGCACGTGCCACTACACCTTTCCCCTAGTTTGACTTGAAAGCACTCTGTGTATCTGGGAAATTACTTCTTCTCCTACCTGTCGCAGTGACCTTTCTCCCCCTGGCACTACTCATGCCCTTCCCTGTCTGGGTGGAGGTGGTGGTAGCGTCTGTGCGGTCTTCCCACCAGGCGACTATGCCCAGCTCAGCCTGCGCATCCTGTACCTGGAGGCGGGGGTGTACGACGTCCCTGTCATCGTCACCGACTCCGGGAACCCTCCCCTGTCCAACACGTCGGTCATCAAGGTCAAGGTCTGCCCTTGTGACGAGCACGGAGACTGCACCACGGTTGGCGCGGTGGCCGCGGCCGGCCTGGGCACGGGCGCCATCGTGGCCATCCTCATCTGCATCGTCATCCTGCTGAGTGAGTGCAGCCGCCGCTGGGGCCTCCCAGGCACGAGTGCTGGGCCTGGGCCGGGGCGAGGCCGGCCCCGCGGCTCACATCCCCCGTCAGAGGGCTTTTGGGGGCCCACTAACCTGGTCCTCGTGCAAGCCCTTAGGGTGGAGCGGGGGGTCCATCCAGCTGTTGAGGGGTGTCATCAACTCCCACCACCCCACTCTGCCTCCCAGAGCACCTTCCCCCCTGCCTCCAGCCTGTCTGAGCCCCCTCTGGAGAGGGCCTCTCAGGGGCCCCCTAAGCTCCTCACTCCTGTCACGCCATCCCCCTCCCCTGCAGGGACCTCCCCTCACCTCCTCCACCAGGCCAGGCTCTCCCCCTCTAGTCATCCTGTCCCCCCCGGGGCGAGGTGAGTGCTCAGCCATCGGCTGTCCCAGGGCGAGCGGGAGGAAGGAGAGTGCACACACACAGCGGGCCTCTGCCCGGGCCGCGCCTCACTGACTCATCCAGCTGTGCATTGAGAACACGTCTTTAAATCGGTCTGAGCCGAATGAGCACAGACTCCTCTCTGGTCATTATTCCCTGAACCACACAGCAGTGCACTCAATCCAAAACCACAAGACAGCAGAGATGACAAGAGCACACTGGAGATGTGTGTACACGCCACGCAAACACTGCCACGCTTTGCACGTGGGACATGAGCATCTGTGCATTCCAGTGCCCACAAGGGCAGGGGCCCCAGGGCCCCACGGGTACCGAGGGACCACACAGATACCGTGGACACACGTCTGAGAACGCTATGCCAGGGCCAGGCAGCAAGGGAGAGGGGGAGAGCTTGACTCTGTCCAACCCTGCCTTGGAAACAGCACATAAGCCCATGCACACACATGCACGCACACACCTGCATGCACACACCTGCATGCACACGTGCCCCATGTACATGTGCAAATGCATGTGTTCACTTATGCCCACCGCTACACACATAAGTATGCACACATACATGAAGCATCTACACACAAACCTGTGTGTGCACATATACACAGGAACAAGAACGCACACAGCACACACATGCTTATACAAGCATCCACACTTACATTCACCCAAGTGTGCACACAGAGACATGCTTCTGTCACCATGCATAGCACACATATGCATCTCGTCATGCACACACTCATGAGCTAATCATGTACAGCCATGTGCATCCTCACAAGGTCTCACACAATTGTGTGCACATGTGCCCACACCTACTCACACTGCACACGCAGAAATGCTCATGCGTAAATGCGCACCACCAGTGTGCCCACACCCGGCTCACCGTGTGCCCCGCCCCCCAGCCATGGTCCTGCTGTTTGTGGTGTGGATGAAGCGGCGGGAGAAGGAACGGCACACGAAGCAGCTGCTCATTGACCCCGAGGACGATGTGCGGGACAACATCCTCAAATATGACGAGGAGGGCGGCGGCGAGGAGGACCAGGTGAGCAGCTCCGCCCGCGGCGCGCTCCCCGAGGCCGGTGCTGCTGCTGCTACTGTGGCGGTTGACGCTGGTGCTCGGGCTTGAACTCAAGCACCACCAAGGGCTCCACTCTACCCTAGCCTTTTCATGCGAGGCTGGCTCTCTACCACTTGAGCCACAGTTCCATTTCCAGGTTTTTGCTATTTTTAATTAGGAATTAGATCTCATAGGCTTTTCTGCCTAGGCTGGCTTCAAACCTCAGTCCTCAGATCTCAGCCTCCTGAGTAGCTAGGATTACAGAAGTGAGCCCTCAGTGCCCAGCTCACTCAGGCTTGTTGGGGGTTTTTAGTTTTTGTTTTTGTTTTGCCAGTCCTGGGGCTTGAACTCAGGACCTGGGCACTGTCCTTGAGCCTCTTTGTGTTCAAGGCTAGTGCTCTACAACTTGACCTACAGTACCACATCCAGCTTTTTCTGGGCAGTTTATTAGAGTTAGGAGTCTCACGGACTTTCCTGCCTGGGCTGGCTTTGAACTGCAGTCCTCATATCTCAGCTTCCTGAGTAGCTAGGATGACAGGCGTGAGCTAACAGTGCCCGGCTTCAGCCTGGGGTTTTTACAGTGAGGCCTTTTGTCCTTTTTGCAACTGGAAAGGTGTCATGCATTTCTTTGATGATGCTCAGGCCCCCAGCTTGGCCGTCAGCACCCAGCCTGGGCCCCGGCCATCGTGCAGTTCCCTGGGCCCAGCATTCCCAGGGCAGGATCGGTCGTCTGACCTGGGCCTGTGGAGGTCACAGCGCTGCCTGGCTGCAGAAGAGCTCAGTTTCCACCATTGTGAACTTTCACACTCAGAGGCTCTGTGGGGGAGGGGAGGAGCGCCCGGGCAGCAAAGGCAGTGGTCAGGCCCACACCTGCCTAGAGGACATGCAGGCTGGGGGAAGAAGGACAAGCCATGGGCACTGCAGGCAGGGCAGACGGGGACGGGCCAGGACGCAGTGTGCTCAGAGAACAGGTGTGGTCAGAAGGGACAGTGACAGCATAGGACGGGGCTTAGGATTCTGGGGCGCCCCGGCTGCTCCCCCACCCTCCAGCCTTCCTGACTCACTTGGCCTCCACCCCCAGGACTATGACCTCAGCCAGCTGCAGCAGCCGGAAGCAATGGAGCACGTGCTGAGCAAGGCCCCAGGGGTGCGGCGTGTGGATGAGCGGCCGGTGGGCGCCGAGCCCCAGTACCCAGTCAGGCCCGTGGTGCCGCACCCGGGGGACATCGGTGACTTCATCAGTGAGGTGTGTGGCCTGCGGTGGGAGGGCCCAAGCGTGGGATCGCCTCTGAAAGCCAAATCCTGTTCACACACACACACAGAGCGACAATGAGGGAGAGGCAGCGGCCCCAAGGCTCACCCAGCATAGGCAGCCTCTCCAGAGCCTCTGGGTTACCCAGAAGTAGGTGGGTTTGAACAGCAGTCCCAGACCGCACTGTCCTCGAAATGTCACCTAGACTGCCTGGCTCCAAAAGGCCCCTGGGTGTCATCTGCTGGGAACGCACCGTGTTGCCTCTCTTTCGCCCCAGAGTCTGTGAGAACGCATTTTTAGCAAAAGGACTCCTGTGTAAGTAAGCTCACATTAGCTAAGCCCTTCCCTTCCAGAGTCCGGCCTTGAACACAGAAGGCCATCGTCCCTCATCTGAGGGATGATTGAGGGACACCGTTTCGAGGAGTGGACACAGCCACCCCCACAGCCTCAAGTTCCTCAAAGGAGGTGGGGGGGCGGGGACCGCGGGCAGGCCCAGGGCCATCCTTGCAAGGTGTCAAGAGTAAACCCAGTTCACCCCTGCAGGCTGGGGGCTCTTGAGTCTGAGTTCGTCTCCAGGCTTGCTCTGGGTATTTTTTCAAAAGGAGAGACAGCATGTGTGGTGTCCTTGGTGACAAACCCCAGGGCGGCAGGACGGTGGGGAGGGGGGCCTTAGAGGTCCTGGTCAGCCTCGGCCACCATGAGAACCTGCAGGGCCCCCTGAGACCAGGGGGACGGCCCCTCAAGGGCACGGCTGCCGCGCACCCCGCAGGCCGCACACACAGGGCGCGGGTGTTGGGGGCCCAGGGCCCGGCCAACACTGAAGGAGAGGCGGCCGCTGCTGCGTGCGCTGCCCGGGCCGGGCTCCCCGAGCCGAGATCGGCTGGAGCGGACACTGCAGCTCGGGAGGGGCCCGCAGTCCCCCTCCCTCCCACCGGTGTGGCCCCAGCGGGACGCAGCGCCCCAGCCTTACCCCGTGTCTCTGGCCTCAGGGACTGCGAGCCGCAGACAACGACCCCACGGCGCCTCCTTACGACTCCCTGTTGGTCTTCGACTATGAGGGGAGCGGCTCCACCGCGGGCTCCGTGAGCTCCCTGAACTCGTCCAGCTCCGGAGACCAAGACTACGACTACCTGAACGACTGGGGACCCCGGTTCAAGAAGCTGGCGGACATGTACGGAGGGGGCGAAGAGGACTAGCGGCCCACGTGAGACGGCTCTGGAGGCCGAGGGGCGGCTCGGGGCTGGCGCCCCCCACCCCAGCAGGCCGGCCTGGCTCTGGTGTCCGGAGGCCCCTTCCCGCCCTGCCCTCCCCAGCGCGGAGCTGTCTAGCATGAACAGTCGCTGCCAGGCCTCACCCGACGCCGCCACGGACCGGACCGTGAAGGGAGAGCCGGAGGCACCGCCCTAACTCGAATCTCCTAGAACAGAAGCACTGTCTAAACACAAAAACAAACAAAAGTGCCTTTTGGTACACGTGTCAGATTCCCTAAACTCAGGAGTGACTGGAAGCGAGCAGACAGCCCAAGGCGCCCCCTCCCCTGTCCCCCCTGCCCCTGAGCCCGACGGGCCCCCGGGTCACACTCTAGAAGCATCAAATGAGGATGAGGAGAATCTTGACAGGGTTGGGAGGGGGGTGTTTGTCATTTGTTTTTTTTAAAAAAGTGGGTGACTTGTTTGAAAAAATAGTTTAGGGTCCGGATGCCAACAGCCCTTACTGAAGGCAATCTCCTGGCCCCCAGCCCCAGGCCTTATGGGTAAGGCCTACGTTCCCAGCAAGGAAGCTCCAGGGCCGGCCTAGCCCGGGGTGACGGGCCGGCCTGTGGATGTGCCCGTCTCCCCCTTGGATACTCCCAGGGCCATCCTGGGCCCCCCCCGTCTCCGTCCTTGGGCACTCCAATGCCTCCCAGTCTGCCAGAACTCCGTCTGGGTCAACCGTAACCCCAGTGTCTTCGAGGTCCTCCTTGTCGTTGGTCCAGCCCCTCCTGCTGCCCAAGAAGCTACCGCATCCTGTGAGGCACAACCAGGGCCAGTGAGGGTTAACTCCAGGGGCCGGCGGAAAGCAGTGAGCGCGTGTCGGCCCACACGCTGCACGCTCTGACCCTGGCCACCCCCAGGGCTGTGCAGACGCCAAGAACAGACTAGCCAGTCTGCGTTTCTTGGCGTGCGGAAGGCTTGGCACCAGCACCGACTTGGGTGACTCTGGCAGTCCCTCTCCTCTCCTCTCCTGAGCTGCTGTGGGCAGTACGGGCCTGTTCCAGCTGGCTGGTGAGAGTCACCCCCTCCCCGCTCACTCCTCTGTACCTGTGTCCACAGGCCACACATCATCCCCACTGCTCCCCCATGTCTCTCCCGAGCTGGCTCTGCTCGCCATGGGTGACCTGACCAAGGCCACACTGTGTGGTGGGCGTGTCCAATTCCCACCCAGCCCACCCCCCCCAGAACGCGAAGCCACCGCTCTCCTCTGGATGAGGAGACCGACCTCGTGGGCCAAAGATGCCTCCGTGTCTGTCCACGTGTCTCAGCCAGGGCAGGGGCAGGCGGCATCAGAGGCACCCGTGCTGAAGCATTTTCTAGGCCCGGGGAGGGGACGGCAGCAGGTACCTGGAGGCCTTGATGTCAGAGCTCCCCCTCCCCCTCCCCTGGGGAGACAGCAAGCCCAACGCCGCGAAGGACAGAAGCCCAGCCCGTCGCTGCTGCTGGCGGGCACAAAGGTGCTGAAGGTGGGCCATGCCAAGGGGCAGCAGGTTCCCCACCTGGGCTCCATCCAGCGCTTCTCTCTAAGCACTGGTCACAAACACGCACCTGGGTAGACTGGCACGGGCGGCAAAGTCGCAGGTGCGTCCCATTGGACATCAGAGTGCTTCCTCCTCTCCAGAGCTGAGCTGTCCACTCTGTCCTCCAGTGCCTGTTCCGGAGGTGGGGGTGAGAGCCGCGGCTCCCAGGCGCCGCCCTCCCGGTGTGTCCACAGAGGACTAGAGGGGGATGTCTGGTTCTAAGTTATGCTATGCAAACCACTCAGGGCCAGCAGCCAACCAGGATGGCCCTGAGTGTCTGAAGGGCGTGGCCAGTGGAGGGATTGCTGTGGTCAGGGCTGGAGGATGGGAGCTAGAATTTTCTAGGTTGTTGGAGAAGTCCCTGCTTCAGTGAGAGGTGTGCATGGATTGTTGGAAGTGTGTTTAAAAGTGAGGCAGCATGCATTCTTTTCCTCTGAAAACTCAAGGCGTCCTTGTATCCTCCTGGACAGGAGATCGTACCAGCTACGGGGTGGGATGTCTCTCCGCTTCCCTGCTCCCCCTTCCTCACCTCCCCCACACCGGTGTCACTGCCAAGCCCCCCTCCCCACTCCTCTAAGTGGTGCAGGCCAAGGCTGCTGCGCCAGCCGGAGGGGCATCCAGCCAGGGTCCCCTGTATTTCCTCTAAATCCCGCAGGCTGGGGCTATCGCAGCAGCTAGCAGAACGTGTGTGTGGCTTCCATCTGAACAGCTTCCCCTTGAGCCCACATCCCCATCAGCCCCTGGGACCAGAGACAGAGAGGGTTCCCCACCCTGCCAGACCCCTCTCAGAACAGAGTTCTGAGGCCAACGAGTTAGCGTTAGGCAAGCGTACAGTCAGTGTCAAACGTCTCTCTTCGGTAGCTTGTAGATAGGCCATGTCTGCGGTCAGGAGCAGCCGGTTTCATTCCCTTAGGGAATTTAAGAGAATCCTGCACTACTGAGTGGCGTGCCAAAGACACCCCGGCCGCGGTCAGCCTCTGCACCCAGCTCCGAGCCAGCAGGTTTTCTCTTCCTTGTGTCTTTCAGCACATCCAAAATTCTAGGTCTCCCACCACCAAAGTGTCAGAATAGCAGCCAAGCGTCAGGCCCTCCGAGATGCCTCCGTTTCCCTAGCTGAATACATGATCAACTCTGTTCTCTCCAAGGTACAAAGTGGAGGGAGGGAGAGTCTCCATTTTTGTCAAAGCTAAAAGGAAACACCAAAAGCTCAAGGCACGGTCTCCTTGCTCAGAGCGCCGGTGGAGCAGCTGTGCGGGCGGGCGCGCGCGCGTGCGTGTGTGCATGCGCGTGCACAGCCCACTCCTGCGGCTGGCCCTGTGGGAAACACATCTGTGAATACTTGGGACGCATTTTACTTTTCCTTTCTCTCCTTTTTTTTGTTCTGATTTTTTTTGCATGTTTCTTTTTGAAAATGGACACATGTGTAGCAACCGCATGACCATGGTTTTGGGAAAGATACCAGAGCGTGACGTGTTCACACCGCAACTCTGAGCATTGCGCCAGTAGACAAATGTTCCAACATTTTTGTAATTGTCAACAGCACAACTATTTTGTATTGTTGTTTGTATCATTTTGTACCGAAAAACAAAAAGGAAAAAAAAAGGGAAGAGAGTGGATGTTCCCCGTGTGTTTTTAGTGCCAGGTGGTCTTGGTTGCAGACAGAACAGCAGCCGTGCGGGATTGCTGTGTTCTGGAGCGGAGTAAGGACTAAATAAAGCCCTGTTTTAAGTAGTCCCTGCCCTGGCTTGTTTTCTTCCGGCATCGCAGGGGCTGACCGCCCCTGTGGTACCGCTCAGGAAACCCGCACACACTGGCGCTGGCACGTCTGTGCTGTGCGCCTGCCACTGCACGGTTCCAACTCAGAGGAAGCAGAATAAACAAAACCCGTTCACACTCCACCTTTCTGACCTCTGCATGCTGCACAAGGAAGGTTGTAAAAGTGACCCTCAAAGTGGTTTCCCCACCGGCTGCCGGTAGCTCACGCCTGTCATCCTAGCTACTCAGGAGGCTGAGATCTGAGGATCACGGTTCAAAATCAGCCCGGGCAGGAAAGTCCATGAGACCCTGATCTCCAATAAACCACCAGAAAACCGGACGTGGCGCTGTGGCTCAAGCGGTAGAGTGCTTGCCTTGAGCTGAAAAGCTGAGGGACAGTGCTTAGGCCCAGAGTTCAAGGCCCACGACCGACCAAAAATAAAAATAAATTAATTAATTAATTAAAAATAAACAACACAAAAAGGAAGGAGGAGTGGCTCAAGTGGTAAAGCACCTGCCTAGCAAGCCCAAAGCCCAGAGTTCAACCCCAGTACTGAAGAAAGAAAAAACAAAAGGCGTGGGAGAGGGCGCAGTGGCCTGGGAGGGCAGGCTCACATTTGCATCCACAGTTACTTTCCTAACAAAAAATCACTTACGAGGTGAATTACAATTATGGACGCAGCTGATAATTGTAGGCACAATTAGCCACTTGCTAATTTTGAAGGTACTGAACACCTAATTGTATTCACAATTAGACAACTGCTGTGTCTGGGACAAGTTCTCCTGGGGGCATACTCCTGTAATCAGCCTCCTGGGGAGAGGCCCTGGGAGGGGGCAGATAACCTGGTAAAGACCCTCCCAGCTCCAGGGCAGAGGGCTGGCGTCCTGGAAAGTCCAGCATGGGGCTGGAGGCTCGGGACAGTCTCTTGGGCCCCTTCATTGGACACAGACTGCTGTCCTGTGTCCCAGAGGAGACTCCGAGGCATCCGCTCAGAGGCCTGCACTGGACAGAGCCACCTAGCGCTCAGCCAAGTGTCGACAGACTCACCTGCAATGCAGGTGGTGGCTGGACCTGGCCAGCGTGGACACCTCAGCAACCCCCTGAACCCATTCCCACGTAAGCTTAGATGCACCACAGGCTGTTGGGCACTGTCAGAGAGGCTGAACCTGCCTGCGCGTCCCTGGCTGCCAAGCCAAGCAGAGGGCGGTGGCTGAGCCACAGGTAAGCTGGGTTCCATCTGCACAGGGCCCAGTGAAGTACCCAGAATGCCCATGCGGGCAACCCCACACAGGCTCCTCCTTGGGAAAGCCTTTAACCCTGCCAAGTTCAAGTTCAGTCCCTTAAACTCCCTCCCGCTATGTGACACAGACTAAGCAGCAGAGGCTCACACCGCAGATGCTCTGGTGACTTCCACTTACTATGGAGAGAAACAACGCTTCTCAGAATCAAATTTAAAAACATTCACTGCATCCCTTGTGCTGAGCCAGAGCAGGGCTTCAGGGCAGGCCCAGGCGGGTGGGGTAGAGACGCTTCTGCAGGTGGCACAGATGCCCTCACTGATGGAACCCTGCTCACTTGCCTCCAGGGCAACCAGGTGGACAGAAGAGTCACAAGCCACGAACAGTACTGTGTGTCCAATGAGCTCCTTCCCACAGCTTAGCTCACGCCTTCCTCTCTCCAGTTTTACATGCTCTTCTCGCAGGCAACACCAGGCCTATGTAGCCAAGGCAGTCAATAACCAGCCTCCAGCCCCCTTTCCCTTGAGATGGCACTTCTCTGGGCAGCTGCCACCATATAAGCAGCAAGAGCTCCCTAGAGTGACCTTCAGGTCTGGGCAGCTGCAGGGAGCCTTATCTCTACTTGGACAGCAGCCATTATTCCTGACCCACCACGATGAAGCTCCTGGACCTCACTTCCACACCAAGGTCTCCACCTCCTCACCCCTTCCACCCCTCCTAGCCTCAGTAGGTTATATAGGTCACCTCTGACAATGGCCGGCGCTGCTTCTCACTTCTCCCTTGTGAGAAGAGGTCTTGCCGGTCCCTGTATTGGCAATAAACCTTTTCTTTGTTCTTTGTTCCTGGATGTCTGCGTGGTTTTCTAGCAAAGTTTAATATACTCTAACAGGTACAGTGGTTCCCTCCTGTAACCCCAGCTGGTAAGGAGGTGAGAACTGAGCCCAGCAAAAGCGCAAGATGCTACGTGAAAGAGCCGGGGGCACGGCTCAAGTGGTGGATCGCTTACCTAGCAAGCAGGAGGCCCTGAACTGAAACCTCCAATAGCACCACACGCACCCAGTGCCACAAGCCACACGTCGGATGTGCCTGTGACTCCCTCGGGGCTCTGGGAAGGCAGGCCCACACGCTGAAGACCCACAGGGGCCTGCGGAGCCTCCCAGGCGCACGGCTGACTCTAGTGATCGACGGGCTTTGGGGTCGTTTTGTTGTTGGTCTTTGGTAGTTGTTGTGGTAGGTTTTTGTATGTGTACGTGTGCCAAGCATGGGGCTTGAACTCAGGACTGGGCTTTTTCACTCAAGGCTAGCACTCTACCACTTGAGTCACAGCTACATTTCTGGTTTTTTGCTTAATTGGAAATGAGTCTCTTGATCCCAGCCTCCAGAGCAGTTGGGATTACAGGCATGAGCCACCGGTGCCCAGCTGTTTGGGCTTTTTTTTGTCGGTCGTGGGGCTTGAACTCTGGACCTGGGCGCTGTCCCTCAGCTCTTCAGCTCAAGGCGAGCGCTCTACCACTTGAGCTACAGTACCACTTCCGGTTTTCTGGTGGTTTATTGGAGTTAGGAGTCTCACGGTCTCTCCTGCCCGGGCTGGCTTTGAACCGCGATTCTCAGATCTCAGCCTCCTGAGTAGCTAGGATTACAGGCGTGAGCCACCAGCGCCCGGCTGTTTGGGCTTTTTTGAATTGTCCTTTGCCTGCTGCCCCAAATTTCAGAAGAGACCAGTGAGGGTTAGGGTAGGGACTTGGTTTTTTTTTTCAGCTAACAATGATACATCGGTATTTAAATCATGAAATAGGCCAGAAGCGCAGAACCAACTGACCAGGGGACCTTACCTGAACATTTAACAAGTAGGCTAGAGGCAGCTGGGGCCCCTGTCACCCCTCGGCATTACCTCCCAGCTGTCCAGGCTCAGGGATCAAGGGTTACGAACAGGCTCCACTGGTCTGGGGTCCTGTGGTTTTCATACGCATGGAGCGGATGGCACTGCTATCAAGAGGTCCAGAGCTTTGAAAGCACAAGGTTCCTGGCCCTAAGTGTTACTGCCCCATCCCCCCCCCCCCCCCCCAGCATGCTGCTCTCTGTGTCCTTGACAGTCGCCCCCGACTGTCCCTGCCCTGCGTGCAGCCCTGGGGGCTGGCCTCTCAGAGCTCAGGTGCACATCACTTTATTGCAGACCATCATCTGCTTCATTGCTCACCTGCTGTAGGGTCCTCGGTTGTCCTCTGCCTCTGAGCACCACCCTGAAGGCCTCTGTCTGGACGTTCCTGGTGTGAACCCCTGGATCTTGTGGCAGTGTGGAGTGTAGCCGCCACCCCTCCCAGCACCGGGGCAGTCTGCTGAGCTTCGGTCATCCCGCACAGGTGCAGACAGGCTTCTCCCTGTTTTGAACCAGCGCCCCTGCGGCTGGCAGGCAGGCTGGGTCCCAGGCCTCCAGCCTCCTGGACTGAGCCGAGGGCGCCTACCCTGCAGTCTATCACCACAGCCGCAGGTGAAGCAAGGACCGTGCTCTGCAGCGTGACCTGTAAGCCCACCTGCCTGGCCACGAGGTCCCCACAGGCGTAGCTGAGGAGGGTCCAGGACCAGCTCTGGTTACAGCACTAGCCTCCGAGGCCCTGAGAGGGCAGCTTGTCCTGTGGCTCAGACAGCTGAGCCTCCCATGTGACGGGTGCCCCTGGGAAGCGGGAACCCCTGGGCACACCCCGCAACACAGAGTGACGTGGGTCTGTGCCAGGACCAGGGTCATCGAATCCAGGCTCAGCAGGGTGTGTTTCTGTCTCCCCAGCCCTGTCCCCACTGCAGAACTCCACCCACACCCCCAGCCAGGTCAGCAGGCAGCAGGGGACAGTCTTGGCCTCCAGCCCCAGGCTCCACGGCTGCTGGGCCCGTCACTGGGTTTAAGTCCCAGACAAACACTCTGGCAGGGCCAGAACCAAGTTTCTAGAAGCACTATCAAAACTAAGACACTAAGAAAACCAGGCAAGACAGATACAGATAAATTTGTTTTTAATAAAGGAGTTAATTTTCTTTCAATCCTATATAAAACAATAGCAATTAAAAACTTCATTTTTGAAAGTAAAATATTTACATATGAACAAGTAACTGTGCAAAATGTACATGAAAAAATGGAAAGACAGGGATTTCCTAAAAGAGAAAATAAAAGTGTAACAGTTCTCAGGTGTGGATAAAAAATACTGATCAGCGTTCAGTTCACACGCAAGAATTCATGTCTAACGTGAGAATTCACACAGAGAAAGCCAAAATATTTACAGTCATAAAAGTACTATCAATAGACAATTTAATACAATAACCTCTGAAAATATAAAGAACCAATTAGTATATTTGTAATAAAAAAATAGGTACAAAGAAGGGACTTTGCTCTGGACGTCTGTAAAGTCTGCCCACAGCTTGCATACAGTCTCTTAGCAAAATAATTATAGTTTACATAGCCATTTTATGTTATGTGCCAAAAATTATGTACAATTACTGACAAAATACACCAACCATTTTTCAACACTTGATTCACACTGAGAAACAGTCTTTTGATGATTCTTCTCAACTCTGATTTTATTTTATCTAAGTTTTCACTTTTAGCTAAAAAAACACAGTGCAAGTAAAATATATTTATGCTGAAAAGGTTTCCATTTCCTTTAACTTTACAGCTTCACAAACTGTAGCAAATAAAATTCATTTGTACAGATGCTGAACACATTCAGGAGGGACCCCCATGCCGGGCCCCAACCTATACTAAGCAGAAACGCACCCACACTCCACGTGACGGCGATGACTTGTGTGTTCCTGGAGAATTTGGAGCGGAGAAAAGCCAGGAAGATAAATAGTCTAAAACTCAGTTGGCTTTGCCAACTGACTGCAACAAAAATAAGTGAAATGAGGTCACTGGCTGTCGACATACAGCAACATGGCAAGCGGAACCGAACCCAACCAAAATGCACAGACAATGAAGGAACTGCTACAAGTTGACAGAGGGCAGCTAGTTATTTGCTAAACGATTCCATCAGTCTTTATATATGGCTTGTTTGGCAGGAAGGCCACTCAGTCAAGGATGAGTCAGGTTTGGCTGTCCTTTAGGAGCATCCGCAGGCCTTTGTGTCTCTCTGCTACAGAAACGGTTCTTCCACGCTGAAGAGCTCATTTAGAAACAGGAATATAAAACTGTTCCGTTGTAAAGAGGTGGCTGTTTTTAAACAATATCCCATTTGCTTGTTACAAAAAGGCGTAATCTGCAAATATATAAAACTGTCCCCAGGCAACTTGTCCTGTGTTACTTAAGGAATGCTTTGTAGAGCAACAGTGAATGGCTTGTCTCGCGCTCATTTTCTAAACAAAATATGAGGTCCCTGAGGTTGACCCGGGTGATTCTTTGCCGTGTGAACTGCCTGGGGGCGCCCACGCCGGAGCTGCCTGGGACTGCCGCGCCGGGGCCGGAGCCCTGGTAACGACAAAGGAGGAAACAGAAGCATTAGCGGCGCTCAGAGGTGGGCTGCAAAAAAAAAGGGGCAACACAAACGTCCTCTACATTCGTCCCCAGGACCCGGTTCCTGCGGAAGCCCCCGGCGCAGCCTTCTGCAGGCTGCCAGCTGAGCTGACGTGCTAGCCGCACCCCTTACGGGGCAAGGGCATAGGCAGGAGGCCTCACTCTATCTCACAGGCCAGCCCACCACCACCAACGCCTCACCCAACACACACTGGCCCTGAACGCCAGGGAGGACAAAGCGGGCTCTGCCCAAAGGCAAGTGGCTGAGTGGCTCTGGGACCCGCAGCCACCAGTCTCCACGTGGCCACGGCAAGGCTGCCTAGGGGATCCGGGAAGGGGTGGAAGCCCACATCCGATGCCACACCAGGACTGTCACCCACCCCTGCTCGGCTGATAAAGGCACTAGGTCTGAACTGGGAGGGACAGGCTCACAGTCAGCTAGGGAGGCCAACAGCTCAGTGATAGTGACGGTGATCGAGACCAAGAAAAAGGGGGCTTCCTGCCCCTCTGGCTGAACCAGACACCCAGCCCTATGGAGACCAGCTATCCCCAAGCCGACTCCACACCTTCCTGCAATGGACTTGCATGGCGATGGCACTACGCAAGTATCCAGTCGCTGGATCTCATCACTGCTTCACTGGGCACAAACTACAGCATCCCAAAGGACAGGTCTTGTGTCTCTGTTCGGGAGAGCTGAGTGTCATGTCCAGGTGGCTGAATGGCTTGCGCATCCAATGGCTGTGTCTGTCCTTCCTGCAACCTCAGTCCAAGCTTACGCCGCTGGAGCTAAGCATGTTCTACCAGCAAGGCTGCAGGAGCGTGCTGCCTGGAAGGCGACCACCGCAGCAGGCTGGCAGGATACTGCCAGGTCTCCCTGGCTCCTGTGCCACTTGTCCTGGCCAGATGCAAGGGGTGTCTGAAGACACTGACTGGTCAGTCTCTTTCTACACTGACAGCTGAAGATGGTGAGTTCCCTCAGGCTCTGGGGCCACCGTCATCTTCAGCCTGGTTCCCACATCACCTGTGGCCACATTCTCCTGGTGGAAGGGCTCCTCCAATTGGCTTGGTTATTGACTTTCACCCCTGGAGTAGCCTCAAGAACTACTCTGTGTGAAGACCAGCAGAGGAGCCCCTTAGTGGGCTCAGAAGGAGAAAGAAAACAGTCCCGTTCTGAGGAGTGGCCTCTGGCACAGCCAGCTAGCCGGAACACAGGCTTCCCCGGAGAGGCCCTGCCCTGGCTGCAGGTGGAGAAAGGGACATGGCCTCTGCTCCCGGGGTTCCTGAGAATGGCAGAATCCACCAGTGCCCGGAGACACAGGGGTCTTACAAGGCTGGGATCTGAACCTTACCTCCCCATCTATGGATGTGGGCTTCCACACCCGCGCCTTTACGACACAGATCTAGTTCATCCTGACTACAGCTCAAGAGCGAAGTCTCAGGGATGGAGGTCCCGCAATGCTCAGGCCGCAGAGGCACTGTGGGCCGGAGCGATTTTGGACCCAGACAAAGTGGAGACTGCACTTCCTGCCTCTCCTCTCAGGTTCAACCACCCACACCAGGCAGGGTAAACTGCTTGTCTAGGCATAAAGTTTAATGGGTACTAAAAGTCAGAAATCCTGTGAATGACATCAAAAAACTGGTGCCCCGGACCTGATGGGGAGCACGTGGATGTGCTAGTGAGAACGCTACTGGCTCTGAGCAGCCACATCCAGGCCAAGCACAATTGCTCCGCCCACACCAGCCTCCGCAGGGACTGGCTGGCGCACAGTGCTCGTCCAGGCTCTCCTAAATGCAACTGATGCTCCTCAAACTCAGGTACAGCCCGCTAGCCACAGCTTCTTCCACTACTCCCAGGCCAAGGCTGGCATGGCTACTGCCCAGGGGTCCTGGCCACAGCCTTCGAGTCTGACCGCTCTGACCGCCAGCCCCCGGCAGAGGACTGCTGATCTGGGGACAGTCCCTAGAAGATGGTGCTGGACTCCACAGCAGCAGCTCCTTTTGCCAAGTACACCCCAAGCCCTCCTGGGATGGAGGGATGTGGGAACAGAAACACGTCAGCAGCCTGCAGGCCTCCAAGGCTTGGGAGAAAACAGGGGGCACAGGGAGGCCTTGGGAGGCACAAGCCTCCCCCCCCGCCCCCCGCACTACCTGAGACTGAAGCTTCCGCTCGTGCCGCAGTGCTCCTGCCGAGCAGGAGGTCAGCACCAGGAGCTACAACCTGAATGCCAGGCACTCTACAGCTCAGGGCTAGCGCTGGCATTTTTGGTTTTTTTCTTCTAAAGTACCGACATGAGGGACAAAAATACGATTTTCTAGGGGGGGGTCCAGTTGTGGGGCCTGAACTCTGGGCCTGGGCACCGTCCCTCAGCTCTTCAGCTCAAGGCTAGCACTCTACCACTTGAGCCAAGCACCACTTCTGGCTTTTTTCTTTTTCCTTATGTGGTGCTGAGGAATCGAACCCAGGGCCTCATGCATGCAAGGCAAGCGCTCTACCACGGAGCCACCTTCCCAGCCCCAAAAACATGAATTTTTTTTTAAGGCAGGGCTAGAGCTCTCTTGGGGTACTGGCCTCGTGTGTACCGGCTCTGTAATAATTCACACCGTTCCGTCTGGGGCTGGTACAAGGATGAAATAAAAGGAGGCCAGTCTCTTCATTGTCACACTTGCCCCTCTTAAGTCTGACCTGCCACACACTCAGTGTAAAAAACAACAGGAATCATCTCCTCCTGTGGGCACCCCTTCCCAACACAGAGCCCTGTGTCCCAAAGGAGACCTGGGTTCCGGCTCTGGGGAGCCAGCCAGCGCTGCCCTGGAAGACACAAGGCCCACTTGCAGAGCTGAGGGGCTGAGGATTCCTTCTCCTCTCCAACCCCGACACTCCTCGAGCTCTGTGCCCGTGAACAGACCCCAGAGAGGAGGGAAGGGTTCCCAGGGCTAAGGCAAGAATGCCTGTCTGGGAGCCATGATGCCTGTCGCCTGGGAGGGGCACCACTGGCTGAGGCCTCGGTGAGTTTTCTGTGCCTCCTCATCTCTGTCATCTGGACCACAGGAGTCTAGCTCATCCACAAAGTACTGGAAGAGCATACAGAACACCCGTGCTCGTGCACAGCTGAAGAAAGACACCACTTTGAAGAGGCTGAGCTGAGCACAGTGTTATCTGGCCACCACTGCCCCCCCCCGCCCCCCGCAGGGCACGAAGGGAAAGTAAAATGCACAGGGCCCAGCTGCACTCATGGAAGCAGCGGAGCTAGGTGTGTCCACCTCCCAAGGTGTGTGCCCTTCCTGTCCCCAGCATGCCAACAAGGACAGACTGAGAAAGCAGATGGCAGCAAGAGGCCGAGTTCACACAACACCTCAGACCTGAGTCCCAGTGACTCAGAACACAGGCTAGAGAAGGGTGGCATCATGAAGCCCACAAGGTGACTTCAAAGGGAAACATAGAACATTCTGAGAAGAGGCCAGTTAGTGGACAAAAGAAGAAAGGGGAGATTCAGGGTTCTGCAAGAATAGGGGCCCCTCAGGGTCAGCATTCCCTGCCAGGCAGCCTGAACTTCACCAGGCTGCAAGGAGAGGGCGCCATGACACCACAAATGCATAAACCCAAACGAGAAAAGCAAACGCAAAGCCACTGCGGATTTGGGCCACGAACTTCACAGGGACAAACTCGGTCAGCAGAACAGAGGACCACCACAGGGAAAGACTCCAAATACAATAAAACATTCCTAGGTTAACCCAAAAGGATAGGAAAATCACCTTGAATCAGAAGCTCAAAAGCTGTGTGACTCCACTGGTAAACTTTGAGTGAAAAATCCAAACAAGAATGCAAGGCCCTGAGTTCAAGCCCCAGTATGGGAGGGGGAAGAAGGGGGAACAGCCCAGATCCCCAAAAGCTAAGGAACAAAAGATCCAGAAATATATCTGGGCACCAATGGCTTGCACCAGGAATCTATCTACTCAGGAGGCGGAGATCTAAAGGACTATGCTTCAAAGCCAGTCCAGCAGAAGATCCATGAGACTTCATCTCAGAAATAATCAGTAAAAAGTAGGATGGGGGTCATCGCTCAAGTGGTAGAGCACCAACCTAGCAAACAAGCTGAGCGAGCTCATGACTGAAGTCATTCAAACGCCGATGCAAACCCAGAAATAAATAATGAAGAGTTGACTAACTCAAGAAGTGGAGAGAAAAGATCAAATTTCCTCAGAAATAAATTATTTGGGGCCAGGGGAGAAGAAAAAAAAACCCAAGTGAGTACATAATGAGGAAAAACCAGAAATAAAAATGAAAATAAGATATACAAAAAAAAAAAAGGCAGTCAGAAAGAAAGTCAGTCAGCCACAGAGGAGGCAGCAAACCTCCGCTGGTGCTGAAGGGCAGCAGGAGAGCAGGCCCACGTCAAGGCCAGGCACATCCACCTGCTCCTCTGCTTTCAACCATGAAGATGAGGTCTGCAGGTGAGAAAAGAAACAGCTCAGGAAGACAAAAGGAAGGGTGTGACATTTGAGCTCTTTAAAACCAATATACAAACCAGATGTGATGGCACACATCGGTAATCTCAGCTTCTAGGGAGAAGGCAGGAAGATAGTGGATTTAAGGCCAGTTCGAGGCAAAATACAACAGACAGTCTCAAAAACAAAATACAAATAAAAATATTTGGAAGTATGAATTGAGAGAACCTAGATCTAGGAACATCATGGCCAGCCTAAGAAAACCAGTCTCACACATTCCACAAGGAAACAGGCAAGAAGAAGAATACAACATGGAAAGGACATGAAACTGGACAGGGGATGGAACTGCTGCCAAAATTGGACAGAACCAGGAATGGGGGGAGGCGAGGAGGACACGGATGGACTCCCGGAGCCAGCGGCTGCAGCTTCCAATATAAACCTCAGCCATAACCTCTGAGAATTCACGGAGGAAGGTACTGTTCCCGTGAATCATTCCACAAGTCCAGCAACAAGAAGACTGCTCATAAACATGAAATCACTACTTATGGGTTAGAGAAGAGGAAGGTTAAGAATGAGAGGCTATGATACAATAAATACAGCACAATGAGCAGAAGCTACAGGCAAAATCAAAGCCTGTTCCAGTAATCCTAACCAGTAGACGGTGCCAGACATCTCGCTCTTGGTACACACAGGTCCAGGGATCTAATCCTCCATGAGAACCCGGACAGCTTTCATTCTCTCCTCCCAACCCCCAAGCCCAGGGAAACCAATGCAGCAGATGAGATATGATTGGAAATCTTGGCGTCTTGAAGAGTGAGTACAACTCTGCGCCTCTGCACTTAAAAATCTTCTCAACTGGAAGCACCAGGACTCACAAGGCCTTGTGTTTCCATACTTCCCAGCTTGAACCTCCTGCAACAACTATGCAGCTTGTGGTTTTCGAACTCTACTTCCCACTAGAAGAAACTAGTTCTTCCTGGGGAAACGGCTGCTCCAGGCCTGAAGCGGGACACCTGTACCACACGCATGCTGCATTCTGTCCTTCCAGGTGACAAGAACGTGATGTCCCATGGTGACATGCCCCGGAGCCTCCTGAGGTGCTGCCACTGGCCAAAGGTAGCACAGTGTAAACCACGATGACAATGAGGACTGCAGAGGATAAGAACTCCTGAGCTCACGAAAAAATAAAGCCATTTTAAAAACAAAACAAACAAACAGCCATCACCTTCTGAGGACGGGACGGGGAATCATTCTGTTACCCGAAACCAACCAGATGAAGAGCACTCAGCATTTACCCTCCCTTCCCCATGAACCAAACATCTAGGAAAACTAACAGCAGATGAGGAGTCTTCAGATAAAATCCTCCAGTTAATGAATAAAAACAAACTGCACGTGCAAGGCCCTGAGTTCAAGCTCCAGCTCCAAAACTGACCAATACAAAAGTCAAGTAATAAACTTCACATATCACAAGTTTTATATTCTCAAGCAGGAAGTGGCTGCAGGCACCCACCATCACAGAGGAGAGTACAGAGCAGAGCCTGCGCCTCCACTCGGCAGAGGGCGCTCAGGTGAGCCAGCTGGAGGTATCTTTGGTTCACCTGCCATGAGCAGGAAGCTCAGGGACTGAGGTATACATACACCAGCTGCGCGCCTAGATAGCCAAGGACCACCACAGGCCTGACCCCTGGTCTTACCATGTCCAGGAAAGAAGAAAGTAGGGTGCTGTAAATTTACAGACTAAAAAAAAAAGAACAGACAAGGTAAAGCAGGGTGCCTCCCCCACAGAGCTGGGAGCACAACCTTGTGCTTCTAGTGTCACTTGTGGTCACGGCAGTCATTACTGCTGCAGGGTAGTAAGGGGCCTGGAACCGCAGGCGCACAGGCTGCTCTGGTGCTTGAACTGGCCACAAGTCCACAAGGATCACACCTTAGGATGATTCCGAGGTGCAATTCTATCCCTAAGGCCCCATCTTAGGCCCCAAAAGAAATTCAGGAAAACAGGTCAGCAACGTCCAAAACTCTCCCTCAAAACCCAAGAATCTTTCTTCTAACAGCTCTTTTCACGATACATCGTTAGTGCTCAAGACTTTACTGATTTCTTGGTTTTATTTTATTTTTTGGGGGGGGTCCATTCGTGGGGCCTGCACTCTGGGCTTGGGCACTGTCCCTCAGCTCTTCAGCTCAAGGCTAGCCACTGCGCCACTTCTGGCTTTTTTTCTTTTTGCTTATGTGGTGCTGAGGAATCGAACCCAGGGCCTCAGGCATGCAAGGCAAGAGCTCTACCACTGAGCCACCTTCCCAGCCCTGATTTCTTGGTTTTAAACCAAGCTTCCAATGTGGGCATTGTGGGCCTCAGTTCACACACTGCAACGTGGGCCCAGCAGCGGGCTCTTGCTGAGAAGCCTGCCCAGCAGCCCCAACTAGACTAGGTGGCATTAGGCCACCACCCCAGGATTTCCTGGCCAGGCCCATGCTGAAGCTCAGGAATCTGTACTTCCTTCTTTCTGACCCTCCCTGGGACTCTCCCTACCACTCAGACATGCATTTAACACTGCCTGCACTATGCCCAGAATTCTTACCTGTGCGGCACAAGTGGGTTTGTCCCTGTTCCTCTCACATGCTGTGGCCAGTGTCACACCAGGAGCACTATCCAGAGGTCACGCTGGCACTTAGGACACACGAGCCTCAGCACTGAGGTTCCAGGACATCTGGACACCACACACAATCAGCAGTCTCTGGCAGGAAAAACACTGCCTTGCTGAGGTCACTACCCTGTGTCCCTGCCCGAGTCCACCTCCACACTCCCCAGAGCAGCGCAAAACCATCCAAGGCGCACAGCACACACCAGCTGCTATGGGGCTCGGAGAAAAATGGAGCTACCAAAGGTCAGGCAGTACATTAGAGTCCAATCCTTGCAAGCAACAAGACCAGTTTGAGAAGCCAGAAAGAACTCTTTTATACTAAGACCCACCACAGCAGAGCCTAAAGGCACACCCAGACAGGGAAGATAGAGCATACAGGGTAGATCCTGCTAGGTCAGGGGGGCTTGAGAAATACCTTGACCTTTCCACAGACCATGACTGACAAGCCTGCACAAATCCAAGATGACCAGCTACTTACTGAACTGCTAAAAACCAATATTCTTCAAAAGAAGGCTGCATGCTATCCACAAGGTGCATATTCAAGTCACAATCACTAGATATGCAAAGAAACAAAAAGAGGGGATCCTTATTCAAAAGGGGAAAGCAGTCAATAAAAAGTAGACCTGAGATGTGGAAGAGAGGGATGAAAGGGGTGGGGGGGAAGAGTGGGAGGGATGGAGCGAAGACGGGCAGATAGGCTTTAAAAACAGCTTTAAGCTCTGGTCCTTGCTCCCAAGATGACAGGAAAAAAAGAAGAAACAACTGTCATGCCTGAAAGGGCCACAGCTCCATGCAGCCTATTCACCATACAAACTGTGCCCAATGCATGCCAAGGACAAAGTCATTAAGAATGTGGTCATTCAGAACACAGTAGAGGCCACAGCCATCAGGAATATTTCAGAAGTGAGTGTCCTGGATACTTTGGCGCCTCCTGAGCTCCATTGCCGCATGAACGGTGCCATTCACAGCAAGGGGGTCGGGATTGAACTCGTGAAGCCCAGAAAGACTGAACACCCCACTACCCCGATTCAGTCTGCTGACACTGCCCCACAACCTGCACCAAGAAGTAAATAAGATGGAAATGATGCTTTCAAGGAAACCGGCTTTAATAAATATGACCAACTAACTGTAGGAAAATGCAGACTTTATGAGTAGGCAGAGAATCTTGGCCAATCATTAGAAGCTAAAAATGAAGCAAATGTAACTTCTAGAATCAAAATACACATTAGGAAATGAAAACCTGACTAGAGCTGAACAACTAACTGGTTATGGCCAAACTCCACCTGGCTAAGCCACCTGGAGGGAGAGTAGTGGAGATCATCAGCCAGAAAACAGAGAAAACAAACTGAAGCAAATGGCACTGGTTCAAAAGCTATGAGGCAACAGTAACAGGTTTAATAACAAGTAATTGGAGATCTAACAAAAGAAAGATTGGAACAGAAAAGAACACTTGGAGAAATAATGATCAGAATGTTCCAAATGCAATTTAAAAAAAGAAAAAAGAAAAACCAAAACATTGACCTACAGTCCAATTGAGAAAAGCTTAGAAAACCTGAAAGAGGCCACATACAGAACCTACCAAATACAAAACAAACCAATATATAAAGTCTCAAAACCTCAAAGAAAGACAAATTATGTAGAGGAAACAAGGATTGAACTTACAGCAGAACCACTAGAAGAAAGTGGGTCAACATCCTGAGATTTCTGCAAGAGAAAAAAAAACCTAGCAACCCAGACCTTTCTAACAAGGATCCTTCAAAGTGAGAGTGAAATATAATCACATCTGTGGGGCACAGCGTGTGCAGCAAGGTCCCGGGTTTAAACCCCCCCCGCCCCGCCCCAAAAAGGAATGAAGACAAGACAACCAACCATGTTCAAGTAAATAGCAGTGGAGAGGGAAGACCTCCAACAGACCTACACTACAAGATCCTAGAGGCTGTCCTTCAGACCAATGGAAAAGGGTGCAAGAAGGAACAAAGAATACCAGAAAAGGCAACTGAGAACACTGTTTTCCTTCTTCAATTGACGTTAAAGAAAATTTAGAGTTGGAGCAAAAACAAAATGCTAAGACAGGGTACATAAGAGAAAAAGTATAACAGAATTTGCACAGCACCTTCCCTTTCATGGTCTACATTAGCCCTCTTCCTATAAGGCTTCTCCCATGTGTACTTTTCGGGGAGACACCACCCCAGCAAAATTACTCCTTCGATTGCAATTTACACATATGTTTTTAAAAGTCAGTTGGAGCAAACTGGTGATCCCATGCGTTTATGCAAAGAACTTTTGGTTCACGTGATATACACAAACAAGCTGATTTGAATGTCAAGTGTCCTATGCAGGAGACTGAGGAAGATGAGGCAATATGTGAAGTGAAGGGGTGTGTTCTGACATGTGTCTGTCTACCTGAGGAAGCAGGCTCTAAGGCGCTCTCCCGGGTCCCTTCCAGACCTCAACCCCCGCGATGCTGCTGTACCTCTGCTCCTGATCCTGGCCCCGCACAGTCCACTTTCCTCTTTTTCCTGGGCCCAATGGCCGCCAGTGCTGTGAGGTTGGCATCTCGCTGTCGCATTTGTGCCAGCTCCTGCTGCTGCATCTTCGTGGTGGAAAGGAAACAAGGACTATGGTTTCTCAGATGTTTTACTTACTGCAAAAGCATTATGCAGATACCAAAAAGGCTTTCTGAAATTTTCTAAATTTTAATGATTTATCTTTAAAAAAGAAAAAAAGCACACTGACTATACTCACCACAAAATTTAAGAACATTTAAAAAGCAATAGATGACTAGATGTTTACATTAAGTGGTAGACTACCTGCCTAGCAGGTACAAAACACTTGGTTCAAAATCTCCACTACCATGAATGAACCAATGAATGAATGACTACAACTGAAACTCACCTTAAAAGACTCAGAAAACTAAACAAGTTCAGAAAAGTTGACGTTAAACCTAAAAGCTAGACACAAACTATACAGGAAAAATATCTTTGGCTTGGTACTATTTAAATATTACAATACTGTAAATAGCTACATAAAAACCCCAGTTCAGAAATCCCAAGGTTTTCTTAAATGTTCTCTTTTCTGTATCTAGGATGAATACAAACTTGGAGTTATATGGTAACAAGTCCAGGACTGAAAAGCTTACCTCTTTTGCCTTCTGCTTCAACCTTAATTGTTCTGGATCTTCTTGTCTGGATCGAGACTATTTTTGAAAGAAGAAGGAAAATAAGTTATGACCTAAATATTTATCTCCAACAAGTGTTAACGTATTGATTTTATAATAGCATCTATGCCATATAACAGAATGTTCTAAGTTTTTTTTTTTTTTTTTTTTTAAGGGGGGGGGGGGGGGTCTGGTCGTGGGGCCTGAACTCTGGGCCTGGGCGCTGTCCCTCAGCTCTTCAGCTCAAGGAGAGCGCTCTACCACTTGAGCTACAGCGCCACTTCCGGCTTTTTTTTTTTTTTTTTTGCTTATATGGTGCTGAGGAATTGAACCCAGGGCCTCATGTATGCAAGGCAAGAGCACTACCACTGAGCCACCTTCCCAGCCCTGTTTTAAGTTTTTTTAATGCTTAAATCCAAAAGATAAAAATTTAGATTACAGGGCTAGAAATGTGACTTAGTGGCCAAGTGCTTGCCTAGCATGCATGAGGCCCTGGGTTCAATAACTCATTATCACATAAACAAAATAAATGAAAAAAAAAAAACAAAAAAACTTGTACATCATGAAAAAGTACCAATTTGGTATAACGTCTTTGACTCAATGTGGTCTGACAGGAGTCAGGACAGGGTTCTGGGTTCAGGGACTGCTCCTACACCTCAGCAAGTGGAGTAAGGGTTAGCATTTGGTCATCACCAAAGTTCATGCCTCAAGTTTTTCAGGAAGCCTCTCTGTGTAATGAAGTTTGTTTCTGACGCTACAAGTGAGGTGTGCCACATCTGGCTCTGTGTTCTAGACTGAAGAGCCACAGTCTGAAGCACAGACTTGCATATTTGCACATTGGTAGATGGAACCCAGGGAACCTGAGGGACAGGTGAAGAATGCCAGCGGAGCAAGGCCTCTTTGTGGCTCCACTTACAACCCTAAATATCCCCTTTTCTTCAAAGCCAGCCCAAAACACAACTCTGGCCACCTGGAGTCAGGGTGCATACACTGGAAATGAAGAGGGTATGCCCACAACCAAAAGCCTGGAGAACAACACAGTCACTTGCCTTGGCCGCCCTCATCAGGATCTCCCTCTCCTGCTCATCTTTTCTCTGCTTTTCAATCTGGTCAAGTTGTTCAAAAAATTTGAGCTGAGCCCGGACATCACTTGCCTGTTCATATCTGTCATCATCCTGAAAAAAAGAAAAAAAAAGGCAAAAATACGGTGTCACAGATTTGAGGATCCAGCAAGCAAACACTTGGCTGGCAAAGTGGACAGTTGCATAGCTCTTCCCAACCCCTCAGTCCAGCCCCCACTTGGCAGTAGAGCTCATCACTCATTTTTTTTTTCTTTGGTTCTGGTCGTGGGGCCTGAACTCTGGGCCTGGGCGCTGTCCCTCAGCTCTTCAGCTCAAGGCTAGCACTCTACCACTTGAGCCACAGTGCCACTTCCAGCTTTTTTATTTTCTGCCCAGGGTCGAACCCAGGGTCTCATGCATGCAAGGCAAGCGCTCTACCACTGAGCCACCTTCCCAGCCCCCATCACTCATTTCCCTAGACGATTCCACACACCTGCCATCAGGGCAGTCTCACCAGGAACCCTGCAACTTCATGGAAATTTCTGTTTTAGATTCTTGGATGCTGCCCGATAATCTTTATGCCATTTAAGATTCTCTATAGTAGTCAGGCACAGGTGGCTCACTCCTGTCATCCTAGCTACTCAGGAGGCTGAGATCTGAGGATCATGGTTCAAAGCCAGCCCTTGCAGGAAAGGCCGTGAGACTCTTATCTCCAATAAACCTAGAAAACCAGAAGTGGTGCTGTGGCTCAAGCGGTAGAGCACTCACCTTGAGCTGAAGAGTGCAGGGACAGCGCCCAGGCCCAGAGTTCAAAGCCCCATGACCGACAAAAATGAACAAAGATTCTCTGTAGTAACAGCAGTGTCTTTCTTTGTCAGTCGTGGGGCTTGAACTCTGGGCCTGGGCATTGTCCCTGCGCTCTTCAGCTCAAGTCTAGCACTCTACCGCTTGAGCCACAGTGCCACTTCTGGTTTTCTGAATGGTTTATTGGAGATAAGAGTCTCACAGACTTTTCCTGCCCAGGCTAGCTTTGAACTTCGGTCCTCAGATCTCAGCCTCCTGAGTAGCTAGGGTGACAGGCCTGGGCCACCAGCATGCGGCTCACAGCAGTGTCTTCAAAGCAGAGCATTTACTCCAAATACTGCTCTGAAGGCCTGGGACACCCGCCACAGGAGCAAGGCTGCCTCACACAGTTCCTAGCTGTTCCCGGTGCCTGCCAGAGCTGCATTTGTACAATACAAGAAGAACACCTATTTTGCCTTGAAATCTGCTCCATGAACAGAGCAGCCGCAGCTCATGGCCCAGGGAAGGGTTCAGAGCCCACCGAGGTCAGGAACCCTGTGGTTGAACAAGGGTGGAAAATGGCGTAATTTTCAAAACTAACCATTCATCTTCAATGTACAGCCCTTCAGATCACGCCCTCCTGTCCCAGCCCAGGTCTATAAAACACCCAGAACACCGTGATATTCAGGGAGCACACTGGCCTCGTCCTGGAAAGGTGGCTTCCAGATCTCTCTACTCAGAAAGTGACAACAGAAAGATACTCTCTCCTCAGGGAAGATGCCCCATTACCTTATAAGAGAAGTTTTTTTGCTGAGCCGTTTCAGATATTTTTTCTACAAGATTCTGTAGCCTCTGCTGCGTGGCGTGAGACACATAACTCACTACATCTGGGTGCAATTCTGTTATGCCGTGCTTTTTACCTGCAGGCCAGACAGAAAGAGCATTTCCAGCATTCTGCAGTTTTCTTTGCTCCCATTTCGCTCTTTTTCTCCCCCAGCAAGTTCTGCTCTGTCCAGAGCAGCCCAGGCTGCTATGGCCCAGCACTACCTGAGGACGTGAGGAGCAAGGGCACGCCCACGTGTGGCCCACACACAGTGGAGCTGCCAGAGAACTACCAAACAAGTTTCTGTCAAGGAGCACACGCCAGGCACCGTGGGCACTGCCGTACCGATTTCCAACATCCTCCTTTGCAAGGGTGCGGGGAGCAGGAAGGTGTCATCCTTACAGGACCGGGTTAGCGTCCCCACCAATTCAGAGTTTGTGGCCAGTATTCTTGCACTTTCTTCTGACAGGTTTACTCCAGCCATCGATGCAACATCATTGATGTCATCATCATCCCTGAGGAGAAGAGAAAGGGGTCATCATCCTAGCTTTCCGAGGAGTTCGTGAGAAATAGCGCTGAGGTGGTTCTGATGTGGCAGAGCAGTAGGACACCAGCAACAGTCCTCTGGCTCCTGCACGCTCTGTGTCCTGACATTCAGAGAAGGTATCTTGTGGCCTAGGGTGAAAATTAATCTGCTCTTTTTCAAGAAAAAGCTGTATGAAATGAGAGTGGACCCAAGTCCATAAATGGCTATGTGGAAGAGCCCTGACCACAGCCGCACCATGTCTAGAGAAAGAAAAATCAAAAGCACTATTACTGTGAGGTTATCTGTCATAGCACCTGAAATCGAAAAAGAGGTTTTTCCTTTGTTACTGTTTTGGTTTTGTCTGTCTTGTTTGTTCCTTTATCTGTCTTTGAGGGGGGCAAGAAGGGGTACAGAAGGGACAAAGAGTGAACAAAGGCAGCAGTGGTACCCACTAGACACTATCTTGAAAATGAACTATACAACTTGTGGGTGGGGACAGGAGGGAAAAGCTGGGAGAGAGAGAAGGGGTGACATTGTGCAAAAAGAAATGTATGCGTGGGGCTGGGAAGGTAGCTCAGTGGTAGAGCGCTTGCCTTGCATGCTCGAGGCCCTGGGTTCGATTCCTCAGCACCACATAAGCAAAAAGAAAAAAAAGCCGGAAGTGGCGCTGTGGCTCAAGTGGTAGAGCACTAGCCTTGAGCTGAAGAGCTGAGGGACAGCGCCCAGGCCCAGAGTTAAGGTCCCACGACCGGACCCAAAAAAAAAAAAAAAAAAAGAAATGTATGCGTTACCTGACTCATGTAACTGTAACCCGTCTGTACACCTATCACCTTTATAATAATATAAAAAAATTCTTCAAAAGAAAAAACTTATTTAAAACAATCACAAACTCTCAGACTGAAAGACAAATTAGCACAAAGAACTGTCCCTAGTCCGGTGCCAGTGGCTCATGCCTGTCATCCTAGCTACTCAGGAGGCTGAGATCTCAGGATTGTGGTTCAAAGTCAGCCCAGGCAGGAAAGTCCATGAGACTCTTACCTCCAATAAACCACCAGAAAACCTGAAGTGGCGCTGTGGCCCAAGTGGTAGAGCACTTGTCTTGAACTGAAGAGCTGAGGGACAGCAGCCAGGCCCAAAGTTCAAGCTCCACAACTGACCCTCCCCCAGCCCCCCAAAAAAAGAATTCTCCTTGAGGTATGGCCCCAGAGGCACAGCACAAGCAAAAGGACCTGAATGCAAATACCAGTACCATGGGGGGGGGGGGGGGGGGGGGGAGCACATACGAGACACGTTGTTGATATGAGCCCCCTCCCCAAAGCCCAATGCCTGCCTGTGCTTCCAGGACAAGGGCACCTACACCTACACAGTGACCTGCACATGTGGCCACTCTCCCATGAAGCGTCTTTCCCAGCAGGAGAGTCCACATGCCAACCCTGCACACTTCCTCCCCTCCACTGAATGTCCCTCAGCCTTTCCTTGATCCTTTGACCCTGGCACTTGGCAGGTTACAGCGCACTCCAACGGAACCTCCTCATTCCCGCCGGACCCATGACAAGAGCTCCATCAAGCCACCCCTGCAGGTGGCTCCTCTTGGGTGTCCCGTGTGCCCTCTGAAGTCGTGTGCCCACAGCTCCCTCCTGCTGGCTCCAGGTCATTCCGTGGCTGACACCTACCCAGTGCTGAGCCTCCACTTCTTCACAGCCCAGCCCAGGCTCGGGAGGGAGCTGTGCTGGTCGACGTGGCTCTACCCACCCCTTGCTCCAACATGGCTGAGGGGCCTCAGCTCATCCAAGCCCTACGGTCAGCCTCTTCTCAGAGAAACCTTGGGCCTTGTGTTGGAAAATGGCTTTTAAAAAACAAACCCTGAGCACAGCCTCTCTGCAGAGTGAGGCCTGGGGCTCTCATCTGTACCCTAATCCCACCCTCTACCCTTGATCCTAGTCTAAGGCCACTCTGCTTTTGTTCTGTCCTCAACAGTAAGATGCCACAGAGCCCAAGAGCCTGGACTTAGCTTCGGGTACGTATCTATACCCCATCTCCCCGCCCACCTCTCAAGGTGGCAGACGTCCACACCCCACTGGAGCCCTGCCTCCTGATGTCTGCCCATCTTCCTGAAAATGTCTTGGAGGAGGGAGATCCATCCACATGAACGTCCTACAGTGGTAGGGCCCTACAGCAAGGCCACTCTCAGAGCGCTGGAAGAGGCTCTGCCTGGCTGTTGGTCTTGAATGAAAGCAGCCTGGTCCCTGATGTGAGGGCAAATCATCAGCTGGGAAAGGACTGTGCTCTGAGGGGTGATAAGCTTGGTTTGCTGTGCTGTGACCCCCCTCTTGTGCCACAGTGGGCCTGAAAGTCAACCTTCCCGGCTACACGCACAGCGGAAAGCGCAGAGCGCAGTCGTGAGGCTGCAGGGCACCAGGCACTCTCAGTCCAGGAAGACCCGAGCCAGGCGAGAGCGGTGCCCCCGCAGTGCACACGCCCAGTCCTTACCGAAACGAACCTCCCCCAGGCTCCTTGAGCTTGTTCTTCTGTGCAGCAGCTGCTTGTGCCGAGACAGTAGAAAGGGCTTTGGTTCCAGGTAACACGGTGGGTTTCACCACGGGGACTGCAAAGGAAAAACATGTGGAGTCTAGACGCTGGTCCTGGATGTCCACCACCTTGCTACCTTGCTCCAGGACTTCTCTCAAAGGAGAAGCTCCCACCTCCTAACTAAAGACAACGAAGTTTGCAAAAGCTGTAAACCAGTTAAAAGTTTGTAATGCATCTCTTAAGCACTTACCATCTTGCATTTCCCCAGACTTTTAAGTACAGGAATGCCTGCTGACTAAAAAACTCACATGAGCCAAGAAAGTGAATACATCTGCAGGCTCAGGTGCTTGGGAGGCCAGCAGAGGAGTGCTTAAGCCTACGAACTCAGGGCCAGCCTGAGCCATGAATGACACTGCCTCCTCCTGCCCATCAAAAAGAAAGTAACAGCAGTGTCCACACACCCACAGACCCCCCCCCCCACACACACAATTTCTAAAATCATATCAATGGACTAATTATTGCCATACTAGTAGTTACTAACGTATAATTAAGATGTGAGTTTTGTTACACATAACTTACCACAATAATAAATTAACAGAACATAAAAATAAAGAAAGACAAGACGCCACCCCACTGCCAGGCAGCTCTGGGCCCAGCCCCGGCCTCAGGTAGCTGGAGCCGGGCCTCACCTGGCTGCAGCTGGTTCAGTTGGATCTGCTGAGATGTGGTGAGCATGATCCGGTTGTGAGGCTGCCGCAGTGCGACCATGGGCGTCTGCGTCAAGGTCACCTGCGGGGGCCGGATCAGGGCTCCAGGCTTGGGGGGCTGCTGGATCACCTGGGGCAGAGCCAGCAGAGCACATGAGCATTCTCCCCAAGGGCCAGAGTCTGGTCTCCACACCCCCAACCCACAAAAATCTCCAGAAACCTCTGCACCTCAGCCCCACGGCTTGGGAGAAACCTGGCCCGGTGAGAGCCCAGGCCAAAGTTCCACAAGGGGCCTCATGGGACGGGAACAAGGCGAGACAGCCCAGCCCAGCCCAGCACAGCAAGCCCACAGGACCAGGCCCATCTTGAGGCAGCAGTGCAGCAGTGCTGAGCTCAGACCTCTCGGGGTACAGTACCTCTCTCCTCTTCTGTCAGGAGAGTGGCACTGTCACCTGATGGCCACCGGTCAAATGTTTAATTCCTCTTCTAAGCCTTTTCTAAAATGCCAGGTGACATACATTGGCATGAGAGTGGATTTCCAAGTCCTGCCCTGAGCCTGACCCTACTGTCCTCTATGGCCACTTCCCTCTCACCACTCCAGGAGCTGGACCTGGGCCACACTGCCCTGGGCTGAGAACCTGGCTTCAGGGCATGCATAGCCTACTGTCCTGTCTCCCCAGTCACATAGCAGGCTCCACGAGCTGGAGTACCACCCGCTTCCTGTGCTGTGGGCCACCTCCGGGAGGCAGGGCCCAGACAGCCCACGTTGATACCGGATGCTGCTCTGTCCAACAGAGCCTTCCCACAGACCTCTGGGCTAGTGTTCTAGAGTGAGGTTTCTAACTTTAACAAAGCTGCTTCCTGAGACTGAGGTGTAGCTAGTGTCCAGGTACTTGTCCAACAGGTGTGAAGCCCTGCAGGGAAGAAAGCAAAACAAAGCAATGCTGCCTTCATGGTTGTCTCTGCATCACAAGAGACTCACAGGGCCAGCTCCAGACAGCTCTGGCCGGGTACAGGTATACCTGCCACTAAAAAGTGTGCCACACACGAGTTCAAATACCAGCATGACCAAAAACAAAAAACAAAACAAAAAAAAAGGGATGTCACTGAAGTGGTGGAGTGCCTGCCTCTCAGGCATGCAGCACTGCCGACAAAAACAAGCATGGCAGGCTTATACTCAAGAAATGCATCCAGCTTCCACCAATCCATTGGCCTGCTGGCTACATACAGTGACATAAGCAGAGGGTGTGTGTGTGTGTGTCTGTGTGTGTGTGTGTGTGTGTGTGTGTGTGTGTGTGTGTGTGTGTGTGTGTGTGTGTGTGTGTGTACACACACACACACACAACAGTAACTCTTCAAGGAGCTGGGCATGATAGTGCATGCCTGTCATTCTGCCACCTACAAGGCGGGAGCATGGCAAGTTGAAAGCCAGCCCAGCCTCTAACAGAGCAAGACCTTGCCTCAAATACAAAAAGAAAAAGGAAGAAAACATGATGCTATGGACATAACTGAACACCAGAGGCCAGAACTTCACAAAAGAGGACTTAGTAGGAGCTTCAAGAAAAGAAGGGGGAAATTAGCTCATTGGTTAGTAAATAACAGCCCCTCACACTATACTATGTTAAAGCCGAGGGCCCTATCCCTCATGTTGTCCGAGGGATATAGGAAAGCCCACCTTTAAATGTGGGCCTTCAGCCCTGCCCTGCCCCTCTTCCTGCCCTCAACCCTCTGCCGTGTTCACACTGCCAACAAGCAGAGCAAATGCAAGCTTTCTCCAAGGTAAGCAGGCCAGCCGGGCATGAGTGGCTCACACCTGTCATCCTAGCTACTCAGGAGGCTGAGATCTGAGGATCCCAGTTCAAAGCCAGTCCGTGAGACTCTGATATCCAATTAATCACCAGAAAACTGGAAGTGACACTGTGGCTCAAGCAGTAGAGCGCTCACCTTGAGCTGAGGGGCAGCGTCCAGGCCCAGAGTTCAAGCCCCACAATAGATGAAAGAAAGAACAAAAGAACGAAAGAAAGAACGAAAGAAAGAAAAAGATGGATGAGCAGGCTCCCTTGACAGAGCCTAGCCCCCTTTCTGAGGGTCATTATACAACACAGCCCGCAGTTGACTGACCACAGGGCCTACATTATTTCATATTTTAAGCCACATCTAGAAGAACAAAGCCTTTTTTTTTTCTTTACAGTGCTAGGCAAGTGCTCTACCACTGAATTACACCCCACCCAACACCCATGACATTTTATAACCGCTTTTCTAGATTTGTTGGGCCTATGGCAGGAGTGTGTTCAGAACCTAACTTTCCATGAAGGAATCCAAACGCCAAATCCACACCATGAATACACAAGCCCAAGCCTCATACCTGAGAAATGCCCAGACCACAGAAATGAGGACCCATCCAGCCTGGCCCAGCTGGCCCAGGGCCAGGAGCTCTTACATTTGGGTCACTGCTCTTTTTTTTGGAGACTGTCCTCTTAGAAGGCTTGCTAAATCAGCACTGTGTTTGCTTAGATTAGGAATACCCATCTGTGGAGGTGACATGTCTACAGGCTCACTTTCTTCTATGAGAAACAAATACAAAACCACAAGGCCTTGACCACTACTCCAGCTTCAATTACTTAAGACAACAGCCAAGCTCCTTCCCAGGAGGAGCTTTTGGCCTGCCCTGGAAAGGCAGTGCTGCTTGACAAGGCCAACCTGTGTGGGCTGCGTGAGGCTGATGACAGGGGGCTGGAGGGCGCTGGTCACTGAGGCAGCCGTCTTCCCGGCTGTGCGCTGCACCGAGCTGCTCAGCACCACGGCTGTGAGTGCGGTGGTGGCCTGCGAGGCTGGTGGCGGCTGCTGCTGGCTCTGCTGGATAAAGGCCGCGGAGTCGGGGGTCAGCTGTCTCAAGGCGGGTAAGCTCCTCTGGGAACACACAGACACTGGGGTCAGGGACTGCTTGAGCACTAGTTCTCCTTTCTAAGAAATTCTAAAGTGTGGCAGGTGCTGGTGGCTCACGCCTATAATCCTAGCTACTCAGGAGGCTGAGATCTGAGGATCACAGTTCAAAGTCAGCCCGGGCAGTAAAGGTCCATGAGACTCATCTCCAATTAACCACCAGCAAGCCGGCACCAGTGTACCACGGCACAAAAGTAGTAGAGTGCTTGCCTTGAGCAAAAGAGCTGAGGGATAGAACCCAGACTCTGGCTTCAAGCCCCATGACTTACTCAAAAAATAACTGTCAAGAGTGTAACCATTTAGAAAAAATGTCTTCCAGCTGGAAGTGCCTTCTTGGAAGCATCCGTGATACCTACCTGACAATTCAGCTCTCCCACTGTCTCCAAGAACTTTTCTTTGTGAGACTTAGTTACAAGTTTTAATGAGTATTTTTTAAGTCTTATAACGTACCAATAATAATCAATGATTACCTGAGGTATACTCCAACATACCCCAGAAGGCCCACCCTACTAGTGCAAGCTCCCCCCCCACACCCCTGGGACATAGGGACCCCTCAAATTCAGTAGGACTGCCAGGCCTGTAGACAGGGGCTGAGCTTTACAGAAAAGCCCCTGCTAAACAGAAAACCTGACATGATGTCCCAGAGCACCACAGGCTCCCCCCGGGCAGGCAGCTTCTGTGCCCCTAGACGAGGCCCTGCTGGTATACCCTTCAATTACCTTCAGGAAAGGCACAAGGTAAGGTTGAGGTGAAGAATTAAGTTCTCGGTATAACCTGCTAGTAAAATCTTCGGCTTCAATTTTTCCATCCTTAAAAATAAAATCCACATTGACATTCTTCAGTGAGTACACCTCCATGCACATTTCTAACTGGAGTGCTCTCATTTGGCTGTCCTGACAGCAGTCAGGGAAAGTCAGCATGGTGCAACACTGCAATAACAGACAGACTCCAGGATACTACTGTATAGCCAGCCTTCAGCTAGCCAGGTTACCTGTCTACATCTCTACCTTCTGCAAGTTTCTTCCATATTGCATGTTGTCACTTAGGACTCAGAAGGAACCTCTTTAATACCAGGCGCCATGGTAAGAGCAACAGGCACTCAGAGTAAGTTCACTGTCAAACTCAGCCCTGGATGCATAGGAAAAAGGGCAGCATCAACCTAGTCAGGGCAGCTGTTGGGAGTGGCTGGAATCTAAACTCACATCTGCACAGCACCTGAAGGGAAACTTGAGCACCTATAAGCCATTCTGCTCTAGAAACTTAAAAAAGTCTGATACATTGCTGGAAAGTCGAGCGAGACAAGACAGGCAGTGCTTTCGGTTGGACTGGCCCTGAGAGGCACGCAGAGGTGTGGGCAAGCCGCCCTGCAGGAAGGCAGGGACAGTGGCTGCAGGTGACTGCAGCACCTGCCCAGGGCTGACCAGAGATAGACCACACGGCAGGAGGAAGAGGAGCAAAGGGCTGTGCAGGAACAGAAATCTGGGGCATGGAACTTGTGGGTTAAGGAGAAGGGTGTGCGAAGGTGGTCAACTTGCCACTTCAGTTCTGTGAGGAAGGTCCACTCACGGTGGGCCCTGCAGAGGGCACAGCCATGCCTCAGGGTCCAAAGTGGAACACAGGGCTGGAAGGATTACAGACTCCTGGCTCACACCTACAGTCACAGCTACTTTAGAGAGATTGCGAGGATCTTGGTCCAAGGCTGGCCTCCACTAAGAAGAAGACCCTAAACTGAAAAGTAAAAAAAAGGGCTAGGGCGTCGGGCACTGATGGCTCACACCTATAATCCTAGCTACTCAAGTGGCCGAGATTAGAGGATTGTGGTTCAAAGCCAACCTGGGCAGGAAAATCCGTGAGGCTCTTATCTCCAATAAACTACTCAGGAAAAGCCAAAAGTGGTAGTGTGGCTCAAATGGTAGAGTGCTAGCCTTGAGCAGAGAAGTTCGGGGACAGCACCTGGTTCTGAGATCAAGCCCCAAGACTGGTTTAAAAAAAAAAAAAGGAGGGGCTGGGAAGATGGCTCAGTGGTAGAGCGCTTGCCTTGCATGCCTGAGGCCCTGGGTTCGATTCCTCAGCACCACATAAGCAAAAAGAAAAAAGCCGGAAGTGGTGCTGTGGCTCAAGTGGTAGAGCATTAGCCTTGAGCTGAAGAGCTGAGGGACAGCGCCCAGGCCCAGAGTTCAGGCCCTACGACCGGACCCAAAAACAACAACAAAAAAAAAAAAACAAAATAAAAAAAAAAGGAGGGGGTCCGGGGTATGGCTGAAGTGACAGAGCTCCTAACTAGTAAGTACGAGGCCTAGTTCCAAATCCCTACTATCCCTGGTACTTCCCCACCTCCCCTGTTCCAGGGGAGCAAGAGGTAACAAACGGGGAAGGGAAGAGAACATCCACATGCTTAACGTGCTTTTTAAGTGTCCTGTGATGCTGTCTCCACAGCATCCTTTCCGATGCTAGAAAGCTCGACTGTACAAGCAGCTATATATGCAGCAGAAAACTACTGGGGCGCTGGCCCTCCACACAACAGGCTACATCAAGGCCCCCAGACCTCAGAAATGAGGGTCCTGCAGGGGGCTGCACTCCCAACAGATGAACACGCGACATTCCAACTGTGAGACAAAGGGAATTTCGTATCAGTTGCTTACCAGTAAATTCTGCACTAGTTCTTTCACATTAGCTGCTGTCTCTGTAGACTGTTTACCAGATGAGGCCAGTTTTATTAACGTAGATAGAAAATTTTTACATTTCTTCACGTTTTCCATAGTTTCCTAGATTAAAATAAAAAAAAATATCCAAGTAAAAAAGTTATGGGAGATTTTTTTACCCTAGTCTGGCTGAGAAGCCCAATGTACTTTCTTTCGGGAAAACACCACCTCTCGTGCAGGCTGCTCGACGCGAACCGAGTCTGCATCCCCCTCAGCCCAGTAACTCCCCTTTTTGGAATGCAACTCAGAGAATGGCCCTGGGTGTGAAAAGATGAGTCCACAAAGATGCAGTTCGTATGCTGGGGACCATGCAAAGAAAGTGATACCTTACTAAAGGAAGAAAATCATGACATAGCATCTAAATATGGTGGAAAATACTTAGCAACGAAACATGAAGAACAAAGTTACAAAGCATGAGCTCAATTCGCCTGAAGACTTATTAGGTCAAAAGAGAAGTAGAAATGTAAACAGAAATAACTGCCCACTGCCCACCATCTGCAGACAACCTGGGCTGTTCCCTGCTGCGCCTTCTCAGGCCCCCGACCTCAGACACTATTCCATGGAAGTGGGATGAGGGGGCCCAGAGTCCCAAGCTCTGCCACCTCGGTGGCTGAGCAAGACACCTGGGCTCCAACCTGTGCTCAAGCCCCTGTACACCAGGCAGCAGTCTGGGACAGAAGAGGACCTGATAATTTCACAGAGCTGTTTTCTGACTAATGAACAACAGGCCTGGCTGTCCCTGGGGTACTGAGAGAAATGGCTCTTACCGTGGCAGCTGTGGAGGTGGTGGTGGCCCCTGGGACCGTTCGCTGAGGTGTTCCTGTTTGAACAGCTGTTGCTGTCCCAAGAGAGGCTGTCTGGGCAGAGCCACCCAGAACAAGCTGAGGCTACAAGAGAGCAAAATGGGAGATGAATGTATGTGAGGCCCCACAGTGCAAAGAAAACACTTCCTGTAGAGGCAAAGAAGCCCTAAAAGCTATGGCTCCAGCCAGCCCCAGGGCAGCCAGCTGACCACTGGGGTGCCAAGGCACCCCTATCACAGCAGACCTGCACTCTGCCCCAGTACTGGGCACCTAAAGAGTCAGCTCTGGCGCCTGTAATTAAAACCAATATGAGTCAGGCACTGACAGCTCATGTCTGTCATCCTAGCTACTCTGAAGGCTGAGATCTGAGGATTGCAGTTCAAAGCCAGCCTGGGAAGAAAGTCCAGGAGACTCTTATTTCCAATTAACCACCAGAAAACTGAAGTAGAGCTGTGGCTCAACATAGTAGAATGCTAGCCTTGAGCAAAAGAGCTCAAGGATGGCGCCCTGAGTTCAAGCCCCATGACTGACAAAAAGATGACCAAAACAAAACAAAAATGATACAAACATAGTCACTGGAAAAAGAATTTGCATTTCTAAGCAAACTATACATGTGTAAATTATCTCGAAAATGAAAACGACTCCCATCTCTCAGAAATTAAGGCAAAGGAGACTTGCTGCCCTGAAAACCCTTCAACCTGTTCACACACAGCAGGCAAAGCAACAACAGCCAATGACTAAGACACTCAGTGGCTCTGTGGGCGGCACAGGATGAAGGCAGGGTCCTCCCAGCCCTTGCCCCACTCTCCACTATCCCACCTTCCCGTACTCCACAAAGGCAATGCTTAACAGCCCACCAGTCACACTGGGCCTGACAAAGGGACATTTGCAAGCCAAACAGGCAGCCAGTCTTCACACAACCGGAGCAATTCAAACCACTGTCCCTCAGTCAAATTCCTACAATTTATATTTTACATGAATGCAAATATTTATGAACTTTTTCAACTCAGTCCATTCTCCATCCAATGATTTAACCACTGCTTTTTCCAGCTTCTGAAGGTAGGGGGCAATATGATCCTGAATTCAACTCTAGAGTCAGACCAGGCCAATTTCTCTGCCAACCCAGTCCTTGGAGTGCTCCCAAGGCAGGGAGGGAATCTCATTCTGGCACCTGAACCGATCCACTTCCGGGCCAGCTGTGATCAAGGGTTAGAGGAAGTGATGAGCTCCTCCAAAAGGCTGTACTCTTCCCCTTTAACAAGTATGATCCTCATCCTAGAAACCAACAAATAAAACTCCAAGTGATGAGAATGTGAAACCGTAAACTGAGGGCTGGCTCAGGAGCAGGGCAAAGCTGGCTGTGACTTGGACCCTTCTCGCCTTTGGAGATAGTTTCTTTCACCTCAAACTTCACCCTATGATGCACATTGCACCTAGTGTAAATAAGTCATCTATCTACGTCAGTACAAACGTTTCCACTAACTCCAGTGCGTGAACCTGTCTAGGAGCGTCACTACCTTCTCAGAAAAAGGCTGTCTCTGAGATGAAGGGGGCCAGGAGCTCTTTTCAAGAGCTCTGCACCTCTGGACCCCTGCTCCTGGTATGCACAGATCTCACTGGCTCTCAGCTGCCTGTGATGGAACGGCACCCTCAGCCACAAAAAGGAAGTTAAGTCATGTTCCAGAGAGAAGACAGCCCAAGTGCAGGATAGCCAGGGAGGGCCCTCCACTACCCAGCTCCGTCGTGGGGAGCACAGGTAAGTAGGCACTGCACACAGGACCAACACAGAGGGCGCTCTCAACAGCATGAGTGCTCACAAGCTCACAACACCAGGAAACCAGGAAAAGATGGGCTGCTGTGTTTCTGCCGCTCCCACATACACCCTGGGCCAGGTGTCTCCCCTAAACATGTATATCTTCCTAACCAGCTGTGTTCTCCTCCAATCAGATGTGTCTCCTCTAACTAGGAGCATCTCCCCGTCGTAGAGCCCTATGTCCTTACTGTAATAGCGGAGCCAGCCGAAGCCCTTTCCTGGGCTGCACAGGCTGTGCTTCAAGAGAGATGGGCACCGGCAGGAGCCTCTTCCCACTGACATCTCAAACACTACATTACAAACAATTTACTGGCAAAGACAGCGGAGAAAAACGGAAGGGGTGACATTGATCAAAATGCAGTGTACTCATAATCTGACTTACAGAATCAAAACTTTGTACAACTATTTAAAACAAAAAATTTTTTTAAAAAACCAACCAGCCCATTAGGGTCCATTTCCAGAAACATACTATCGTCATGAGCAGAATATATGCCTAGGAAAGTCTGTGATGAGGAGAAAAAATAACTCTCTTTATGAATAGCCACTCTCCTCAAACAACATGGCGTCCAACGTCACAACTCAAAGGAAAAGCACACTGATCCACCGGAGTCCCTTCGCTGAATGGTGCTGCCTCTTACCTGAACCCCCGGGGAGCGTTGCAGGGTTGTAGTGGGCTGTACCGTTGTCTGAGCCTGAGACACTTGCTTAATTATGGTAGTTGGGGTCACCTGCCGTGCAATAATAGGTGTCCCAGGAGCCTAAGAAATAAGTTAGGATTAGGGTTAATCGTTTCACATGAGCTAGAACAACAGTAACCCCCTCCCACCATATACAAAGATGAATCCTTAAATGTGTAACTGGCGCCCTCAGGTAGGCCCACAGGTTACAGCTCCTGAGAAAGCCAGCCCAGCGTTCTTACCAAAGTAAAAAACATATGATCTAACTCTTTTCATCTAAAATTTCATCCTAAAATCATCATTACACTTCTTCCACAACATTTATAAAATATGATCCTTTTTTAGGGGAGGTGGCAGTACTGGGGCTTGAACTCAGGGCTTTATGCTTGCTAGGCAGACACTCTACCACTGAGACATACTCGCAGTCCCCTAAACTGTGATTTCAAAGCAAGTGGATGTGGGCAAATTAGATTGCACAACTGTCTTGAGTGCCCTGAAGTGGGTCAAGATTCCCTGGGCCCTGGAGGCTGTGGAAGGGGAGGGGAGGTGCTGACTAAGACAGTGGGGCACCTGCGTCAGCCAAAGGAAAGAAGGCTGTCCGAGGAGGCTGCCGACAGTAACAGATCTCCAACGCTGCTCGGCTGCTTCTCACTGAGGACAGGGAGGCAGACCTTCCAAATACTGAAGCTGCTATTCCACATGGGTGTGTCTGCCTCCAGCACACACATACCCAAATATGGGACAGAGGTGGGACCTCAAGACCCCTCCTTCCTGACTTCTCCTTTGTGGCCCACACATAGCCAACCTCAGAACAGCACCTGCCACATGTGTTGTAGACAAGGAAGTCATGGTGCTGGACAGGGTACCACATGGTCCTCAGCAGGGAAGTCCATCCTCCCATGAGCTCAAGGTCAGGATGCAATATGGGAAGCAGGACAGCCTGTGACATTCTAGTGCTGCCTAACAAGAGCTGACACCTGCATGCTTTTGCTCTGCTCAATGACTTCAGTACGTCACATGTTGACAGAACCATGAGCAACGCACTAGAATGAACTGCATGTTTTAGAAGAGGAAACTGAGGCAAAGGCCAGTATTCACCTGGAGCAGCTGGCCACTCAGCCAGGAGCTGAACTGGCTACAAGCACTCACTCCTCCAAGAGTTGTGGTCCTGGCCAGGAGGCAGATAGAAACCAGCCCTGTCCGAGGCCCTGCCGGCTGGTAGCCAGGAGGAGTTCGTGATACACAGCCCTCCACTGGCACCTGTGTGCACTCACCTGTACGGTGGATATCTGGACAGGAGGGGCACTTGTGGGAGTGGCAGGGCGCGGAGCCATGGTGCTCTGTGGCTGGGCCTGGGCATGGGCCTGAGCCTGCATCTGAGCCAGGGCCTGCTGAGGGATCATTAACAGCTGCCCATTCTCACTCCGCACGAGGACCATCCCTGGAGACAAAGAAGACCTGGTGTCAGGAAACACTCCCACTCAGGGAGGGCCCGCCTGGGGGCCTGCTGCCACGGAGGAACACACAGGAGAGGCTGCTGGGGAGAAGGGGACACTGGATGAACACGGCAAGGGTTGTCAGAGAGCCAGCTGGCCTACAGTCACGGACTTCCTCACACAAACCAGGCAGCAAAGCAAGGCTTCCACCGCATGCCACAGGCCACACCAGACACCCACATTATGGACCTGGAAACCTGTGCACGCACGCAGCCCACAGACATTCAACTCCACCGCCTCCGGCCCACTGCACTGCCATCTTCAGCTCACCAAGTTTGCAGAGCCACCAGCAGGTGTCCCTCGGCATCCAGCATCTGTTACTGCTGCTAGCCGGCACTCTCACCATGCCATCTGTCTGTCAGAAGCACTCAAGAATGCCTGCAGTACCGGGGCCCTGCCCCTGTCTCTGCCTGCAGAACACAACCCCGTCTATGGCACACACACAAGCTTCCCCAGCTTAGGGCCTGGATGTCCGGAACAAACAGAAGACCACATAGGCAGCTGCTGCTCACGGAACCCCCTTTGATGAGGTTCAGGCAGTAGGGTCCTACAGGAGACCAGGATGCCCACAACACAGGGGCATGATGTGGCAGCAACTGAGACTGCGAAAACTTCTTACTCCTTCAAGGTTCTTGAACTATTTTTTTTTTCTTTCCAGTACTGAGGTTTGAAGTCAAGGCCTTGCCCTCAGCCCTTTTGGCTTTATTTTTCCATATTGGGTCTCATAGTTCATCCAGAGAGCCTGGGCCACAATCCTGTTTGCACACAGCTGGAGTGACAGTGGTGCACCACTGTGTATGCACCAGGATCTCACTTTTTTTCCGGTTGGTCATGGGGTTTGAACTCAAGGCCTGAATGTTGTCCCTGAGCTCTTTTTACAAAATCAAGGCTGGTACTCTACCACTTTAAGCCACAGCTCCACTTCTGATTTTCTGGTGTTTAACTGGAGATACGAGTCTCAGGCTGGCCTTGAACTGTGATCCTCAGATCTAGGCCTCCTGAACAGCTGAGATTAGACATATGGGCCACCAGCACCTGGCTCTCACCATTTATTGGTCTGTTCTCAAACTGCAATCCTCCCAATCCTGGCCCCTCAAGTACCTAGGATTACAGGTATGAGCCACCGAACCCATCCTGGAGTTAAATCTTAGGAAAGCAAATCCTACCAGTAAGGTTTGGTATTAATTTCAGCTTCAAAGTCCAACCACCAATTATATCACAAATACCACTAGAAATAGTGAGACAAATAGTAACTTGAGAGGATAAGTGGGGTTGGATGATGGAAGGGGTGATATCAACCAAAATGCACTATACTCATAAACTGATATACTGAATTGAAGCCCTGTTTTACCCACTGCTGGAGGGAGGCAAGGAGGGAGGCAGGGAGGGAGGCAGGGAGGGACCCATGATGGGTCCCGGTCCCTGCTGAAGCTATGTAAGAGCTCAGACATCCTCGGTGGATGGCCCACGCCTGTCAGCCAGCATGGATAGAAAAGCAGCCAGATCCAGGAGGAGGATGGCCACCTGGAAGCCACCACAGCCCCACCTCATCTCCACCCCTCCAGGAAAAGTGGCAAAGTCTTCATATCAAGCAGACCCTGGGCTTTCCCTGGAAGAACAAGTTAGAGCTGTCAACCAGAGTTCTAAAAGGGGATTTGATGCTATTGGGCTCTGAGATCTCTCAAAAGCCATCATACCATTAAAAAATAAAAACTGAAAAATAGTAACGCTGCACCTATGGCTTGAACCCCAGCTCAGAATCTAATCAGGCCATTCATTAATATACTGTAATTACTACAAATCTTTTTCCTTAAAAAATTACATCCACACAAACTTAAAAGAATAGTTTTAAATATGCATGAAATAGCCAGGTGCTGGTGGCTCATGCCTATAATCCTCACTGAGATCTGATGATCAAGGTTCCACACCAGCCCAGGCAGGAAAATCCAAGAGACTCTTATCTCTAATAAATTAAAAAAAAAAAAAAAAAGCTGAAAATGGTGCTGTGGCTCGAGTGGTAGAGCACTAGTCTTGAGCAAAAGCAGCTCAGAGACAGGATCTAGTCCCTGAATTCAAGCCCCAGGATCAGCCACAAAAAAAAAAAAAAAAAAGTAGCCAGGTGACTTTAAGAAAGTACCTCAACCTCTTCAACTTCAACTGCCAGGTGCCAGTGGCTCATGCCTGTCATCCCAGCTACTCAGGAGGCTGAGATCTGAGGCTCGTGGACTGAAGCCAGCCCAGGCAGGAAAGTCTATGAGACTCTTGTCTCCAATTAACCACTGAAAAAATGGGAATGGTGCTGCAGCTCAAGTGGTAAAGCGCTCACTTTGTGACAGGACAGACCCAGAGAGTTCAAGGCCCAAGATTGGCAAGGAAAAAAAAAATCTTCAAGTGGGTTCAGAGGGCAATTGTCAAGCCTGGAATCCTAACTATTTGGAAGGCAGAGATCTGCAGATGATAGTTCAAGGCAGGCCTGGGATTTAAAAAAAAAAGAAAGAAAGAAAAAGTTCACAAGACTCCATCATGAGCAATGGCTGGGAGAGGTATATGGTGCCCACCGTCAGCCCAGACACAGGGAAGCGCAAGCAGGATGACCCAAGCATAGCACGAGACCCCATCTGGAAAATAACCAATTTTGTAAAGAGACCGGTGGAAAGGCTCTAGTAGTAGATGCTGTGCCAACAAGCACAACATCCTAAATTCAAACCTCTGTACCACCAAGAAAAGGGGGAAAGGACTTCAGCTGGGAAAGAGAAAATCAAGAGAATGGCAGATAAAACTGAATAAAGAGGCAACAGACACACGTATGTGTGCGTGAACCCCTGGGCTGAGAGTGTCTGACACAGCACAGTGCCGGCCTAGCACACGTAAACGCAAGGCCTGACCTCAGCACTTCCAAAAGTAAAGATTTAAAAAATAAACACCCGGGCTCCAGTGCCTCACACCTGTAATCCTAGCTACTCAGGAGGCTGAGAGCTAAGGATCACAGTTTGAAGCCAGCTTGGGTAGAAAAGTCTATGAGACTCTTATTGCCAGTTTACCACCAGAAAACCAGAAGTGGAGATGTGGCTCAAAGTGGTAGAGTGCTAGCCTTGAGCAGAAAAACTCAGTCCCCAAGTACAAGCCCTACAATCAACCAAATAAATAAGCAAACAAACAAACAAATAAACTCCAGTGGCTGAATGGATACAGCTGATATTCATAGGAAATTGGCCGCATCCCCCTGTAAATAAACCCAAGTTTGCCTCAAACAAAGGGTGCCTATAGGTGCTGCCTTTGGTTTCCATGGCTACAGTGTGCCATCACTCATTGGTTACTGCATACAATCATTCTCACTGCCGCCGAGGAGACTGTGAGAGCCGCGGGGTCACCAGCAGAGGAGCAACGGCAGCACCCTCACAGCAAAGAGCAGAGCAGCCTGAAATACAGACCAGCTGAGGATAAAGGTCCATGAAAAAACAGAAGAAAAAAAGATTTAAATATATTAGCTGGGCACCCGTGGCTCGTGCCTGTAATCCTAGCTACTCAAGAGACAGATCTAAGGATGGTGGTTCAAAGCCAGCCCAAGCAGGAAACTCCCTGAGACTCTTATCTCCAATAAACTCCTCAAAAAAGCCAGAAGTGGCGCTGAGGCTCAAGCACTCACCTTGAGCAAAAGCTCGGGGACAGTGCCCAGGCCCAGAGTTCAAGTCCCAGGACCAGCCAAAAAATAAAAGAGTTCATGAAAAGTAAGCTGCTGGTCTGATAGCAGCTTACTGGCCAGCACCTCCTCTGAACACATCCACATCTAGGAGCTGCTGGGGAAGGACAGGCCAAGCAGAACCACTAGCCAGGTAAGCTCCACGGTTTGATACCATTAATCCCACAGGGGATCCATCCAGAGGTGCCAGAGGAGAGCCACCACGTGTGTATGAATGAGATCCTTAACCTTGTCCCTCCCGCTGCAATATACACACAAGGACTCCATATCAATAGAAAAGGGGGTTCTGTCACCCAAAAAGAGTCACTCTGAATACTTGCCCTCAGCTCCCACTAGAAGAGCTCATTGTAAGAGCTACTCCAGGAATCTGAAGCCGACAGGACTGGGAGGGCGGGCAACAGTGAGGTCGGCAGCCACGCTCAGTCAGTGTGCACAGTGAATCCTGCATCTAGATAGAGGCTTCCTTTCTAATCATCGCAGGATCTTTCTCATAAAGAACTAAGTGTTTCTTCATGGAAAACTGACCACGCACAGAGAAGGCGTAAGGAGGATGAAACCTCCTGGGAAACCCCTGGCTATCCTGTACACGTGCCAGGCACACAGGTCCCAAACAAAACAGAACACAAAATAGGTGGCTCGCCTGACATAGTACTGCACTGTCTCCTTGCACTTCTTACAAACACTTTCCAAGTCATCAAACATCCTTCAAGCGCTGTCATCCAAGCGCTGATGGCGCATGCTTGTAATCCTGACTACTCAGGAGGCTGAGAGCTAAGGGTTGCAGTTAGAAGCCAGCCCAGGCAGAAATAAAGTTCATTAACCACCAAAAAGTGGAAGTGGAGCTGAGGCTCAAGTAGTACAACACTAGTCTTGAGCAAAAAGCTCAAGGACAGTGGAGAGAGGGAGAGAGAGGGAAAGAACAGATCCTACCCTCCCTGAAAAACTGGAGCTCCAGAAAACCTGTCCTGCTCCTTATGACTTTTCTGATGCCTTCAATCATCAACACTAACCACACTCAAGACAGAATAACATCAAGGATGTGAAGCTGAACAACCACGGGAGAAAGTGTGTCCAGGGTGGGAATCACCTCTTGGGATAGGCGCTCAGCAAGCACCACTAAGTACCCATGGAAGCTGGCTCCGGACCAGGGCCCAAGGGCTCCTCCCTGACTGTTCCACAAGGGCTCTCTGGTCATCCCTGTCCACGGCTCTTCAGGGCACACACTCTTGTGCACTGCCAAGGCAA